ACCGTTTTCTTTTAAATCTAGGGGAACGAACAATGGCATAAACATAAGAACTCTGAGGTCCGCGCGGATTTCTCGGATCGGCGCTTGAGCCCCCTCTCTTGTGCGCGGAGCGCGCAAGGGGCGGCGCCGGAGACGCCGCCAGGGGGGTCCAGCGCGGATCCGAGAAATTCGCGCGGACCTCCGAGTTTTTATGTTTATGTCATTCATCGTTCCCCTGAACACATCGGTTGCACGTTCCAAGATAATTTCGTTTGTGATTTAAACATGCTCTGGTTCTTAGAGCATTCCGTGGTAGGTCTATGGGAATACCGGGACGGTCGGTCCCTGCTCAAGGGGGGGGGGTCCAGGGGGGAAGGAGTTCCGAGGCTCGAGAATCGAGGTTTTTGGCCGTTCCTCTGGGTCCTCGGCCGCTTTCCAGCCGTGGGGTGCGCCTCGTCAAGGGCGTTCTGGGGGTACCAGAGTCGTCCCAAACAGCCGCCAGAGAGCTGAGTTAGGACCCGAAAGCCACGTGGCAACGTCAGTGGGGAATAGGCTCAGGGGGGAACGTATCGACCCTCAATCGCTTGTTCATCGCCGATCGGGCTTTTGGTGGATCTGCTTGGAAGCGACGAGCATTTCTGTTTCGTTGTCGTTGTGCTGTGTTGGTTCCCAGTTCTGGCGCCGTTTCTGTTCTGGTTCCGTCGCCGTTTTTGATGCTCTCCGCGGATTTCAACCCTTGGGCGACAGGGGTTTTATGACCCACCATGCCCAGGAATGCACGGATTCGTCATCGGGGGGGGGGCCATCGCCGCTCCATCGGCGATGTATCGCCGATTCCAGGTCGATGTTTCCCCCCTGAGCGGGTCCCCTGGCGGTTTTCGGGTCATGCTTCGGGCCTCTCGCAGCCTTTCGGGACGACCCAGGAAACCCCAGAACGTCCTCCGTGAGGCGCAGGCGTTGGAAGGCATCCCTTGGCTGGAGAGCCGCCGAGAGCCAACGAACACGTCTGAAAACCCCAAGCCTTGCTCCTCGGAAACATCCCCCCAGAAGTCTCTACCCATTCCCCGGGACCAGTTTGTCAACCTGAGCAGTTTTTCCCCATATCCTAAGATGGGGTTATTGTTATTACTTGGACGCCTCCTACTCCTCCTTCTTCCTCTTCTCCTCCCCTCTCCTCCTCATACCCAGACTTACTCATACACAGACTGACTCACACTTAGACTAACTCATACCCAGACTCACTCAACAAAAACTTACTCATACTCAGACCTATTGATACTCAGACCTACTCCTACTCAGACTTACTCATGGTGAGACTCACGCACGCCCCGTTCGCGGCCGTTTTGTGGGGATGTCTCAAGCGGTTTGCCTGTTTGCTGTCCCAACATCCTTCGCTTTCGGAGCAGATGTGGAGGATGTCTCGAGCGAGGCGCTTATTTTCCCACCCCAAAGGGGAGCCGCCGAGGGGTATTTCACGGTCCCGTTCGCGGCCGTTTTGTGGGGATGTCTCAAGCGGTTTGCTTGCTTTCTGTTCCAACATCCTTCGTTTTCGGAACAGATTTGGAGAACGTCTCGAGCGAGGCGCTCATTTTCACCCTCCAAAGGGGAGCCGCCGAGGGGTATTTCACGGTCCCGTTCGCGGCAGTTTTGTGGGGGTGTCTCAAGCGGTTTGTTTGCTTTTCTGTCCCAACATCCTTCGTTTTCGGAGCAGACTTGGAGGATGTCTCGAACGAAGCGTTCATTTCCCCCCCCAAGGGGGCCGCCGCGGGGTATTTCACGGTCCCGTTCGCAGCCGTTTTGTGGGGATGTCTCAAGCGGTTTGTTTGTTTACTGTCCCAACATCCTTCGCTTTCGGAGCAGATTTGGAGGATGCTTCCAGCGAGGCGCTCATTTTCACATCCATGAGGGGAGTTGTCGAGGGGTATTCCACGGTCCCGCTCGCGGCCGTTTTGTGGGGATGTCTCAAGCGGTTCGCTTGCTTTCTGTCTCATCATCCTTCGCTTTCGGAGCAGATTTGGAGGATGTCTCGAGCGAGGCGCTCATTGTCACTCCCCAGGTGGGCCAGCTTTTGAGGATGTCTCGGTCGGTATGCGTTGACTTTAGGCTCGGGGAGGCTCGGGTCAGGGAACCATAATCATGACAGAAGGGGACGCCCGCGCGCGCTCGCAGGGACTGCGCGCATCAGAGCGCGCAATTGGATCGTGCGAGCAAAGCGCGTTGGCGACAGCGGTTGCTGTTGGTTTGTTTCTTGTTTGTGTGGTGCTTGATGGCCGGGCAGCGCGGAGAGCTCTTCATCGAAGAGCTCTTAGATTGGAGGGTCGATTCCTCCGAGCGCGAGTCCCTTTCTGCGCTCGTGCAGAGAGAGGGACTGGAGTCGGCTGGCGATTTGGCGCATTTGTTTTGCTCGACGGACGAGGCCGAGCAGTGTGGAGTGCCCACGGCCTGGGCCGTGGCTCGGGACGTGGCGCGGGTGACGCCGTGGCTGGTGCCCGCGCATGGCATTTGCGCGGAGGGGCGATTTGGCGGCGCGGCGGCGGCGGCCGCGCCCGCCGCGTGCGCGGGGGCCGCGGCGGGGAAAGGGCGTGGGCCTACCGCCGCGCGCCGCGGTCGGCCGAGACGCTGTGCCGCAGTGGCGACGGAGGCGGCAGAGCGTGAGGGGCGCGTTCAGCTGGCGGTCAGCGCAGTTCGAGTGTCGCTTGAATGGCGCCCGGAAAGCGGCCTCGGGCAGGGGTTGCAGGAGGCGCAGGCCGAGATGCTCGCCGACGTCTCGTCCGCGGCGGTGTTTAGGCTGAGTAATTTCGAATCCGGGACGCTGCGCACGGCCTTGCGCGTGTGGGGGCAGTGGGCCGAGTGGGCGGGCCGGCAAGGGCAGCCGGCGACGAGTCTGGCGCGGCAACCCATGGCAGTCGCCGAGTTCGTGCATAAGCTCTCGATCGCACGGACGTCCGGCGTCAGGATCTGGAACGCCTTGAAGTGGATGCGCGTACATTTGAAAGCGCCTTTCTGCCTGGACGATGCGTTTCGCCCTGTGCCACGTGATCCAGGCAGTGGAACCGTAGCACCGCCGGCCCAGGCCACTGTCGTCGAACCCGAGATGATTTACCATGTGATCGATTTCCTGGATGGCGCGAGAACGCCTGGGCAAGTCATGCTCGCGGCTGGGATGCTGGCGGTGGTATTCGCGTGGGTGAGGTACACGCACCTGCTGCGCTCTAGGCCTTTAGAGAAGTCTGTTTATTTTTGCTGGTTCCGCGCATCGAGGGGGAAGCAGGGAAAGCGACAGGGGCGACCTTCGTTCGATTGGTGCTTGCCGAGGCGGCTAGGTGGCGCGCGGTCCGCCGCTGACGCCTTGTGGGATGGTTGGCACAAGTTGGCGGCGCGGGAAGATCGAGCAGGAAGGGCTGTGCCGACGGGGCTCGTCTTCGATCCAGTTTCCGGCGCGCCGGTGAAGTTGGGTGCCTTTAACCGATCGCTGAAGGAAGTATTCCGAGGCTCGCTAGCGGACGATTCCCAGTTGGATCTTGTGACTTCGTACAGTTTGCGCCGGGCTGGGCCTACATGGGCGAGCGCGATACAATTGGACTGGGAAGCCCGAGTCATCTCGGGCGGTTGGACGGAGGGGGGAGACAACTCCCGTCGGAACCAGATGCCGATCGTGTATAATGCGCGTCGGCGGCAAGCCGAGATGTGCACGCGCCTGCACATGGCCGGAGTGTTGTCGTGCCTGCGGACCGATCTGGAGGCCCCAGTGCAGTGGGAGCAAGTGCGATGCTGGGCGAGTTCTGCGCCAGGAAAAGTAATGTTGGCCGACCTAGAGAAAGAGGCGCAGCAGCGGGTGGCGGTGTCGACCGTTCGTGAGAAGGCCGCGTTCTTGCCCCCGTCGGTCGTCGAGGAGTTGAGGCGGCAGAAGTTTCTCCGGATAATCGTGGCCCCGCGTGGACAGCGGGTGGGGCGCGGTAAAGCGCCGGGCGCGCCTCCACCCAATTGTCGGGGTCCTGCCGACGGGGGCGCCGCGGGTAAGAGCGGTGAGGGGGGGGCGGGCGCCGAAGCGCCGGGCGCGCGTGCGCGCGCTGCGCAAACCCTCGCGTCGGGGGCACCGCGTGCAAAGCGGGGGGGGCGCGGTAAAGCGCCGGGCGGTTTGCGTGGGAACGCGTTGCCTGCGCCTGCGAGTCCACGCAGAGCGCCGAAAGTTGCCGGCAAAAACAAGCGACCAGCAGAGGCGGGAGCGCGCGCCAGTCCGGCGTCGGTTGCCATTGCGGGCCGCGCAGGGCGAACCGCGGGTCGATCGCGCGGCCCAGCGGTATTGTGCCCGGGCGTGGGCGGCATTGGAGGCTGTCTCCATCCCCAGGTCCAGGGGAGATGAAGTGTCGGAGCGGCCGGGAGACGCAACCCGTGCAGGCCCGGCCGCGTTCCAAGCGCGGGGAGTTGACTGCGCCGGTCGCGCGGTGACCGCGCTTCCAGGTAACGAGGCAGCGCAGGGCGCGGAGTTGGGTGAATGTGACGTAAAGGGCTCAGATGGCGCGCCAGCGCACTGCGCGCCGCCAGTCAGGCAGGTTGCGGAGGGATCATCCGCGCGCGCGTCGCGAGCCGTGGGCCCGTCGCCCGAGCCGCGGGGCGCGATCGGGTACGTGCAGTCTGAGCCTGGGAGGGCTACCCGGGTAAGGGAGGTTATGGGGCCTCGATATCACGTCGCGATGCCCGTAATTCGTCGCCTCAAAAAGTCCAGAGCCTGGACGGACAGTGAGTTCGGGCCAGTGACGAACCTATGTCAGAATGGATTGAGTGATCTGCAGTGGTTCCCGGCGCTCCCGGAGGGAGCCCTGGTGTGCGCGGCGTGTGAAAAGTTGCGCGGCCGGGCAGCCCCGGCGTGAGGTGGTGACGTCATCGCGGCGGAGACGCGCGGAGTTGCGCGTGGGCCTGCCAGCGAATGCCAACTTAACGGATGCGTATGCGCGCCCCGAGGTGGGCTCGAACGCGGTCCAGAGAGTAGGTTTAGCGGAGCGACACGTGTGGTTCTCGGTATGTCTTTGTCAGTTGACGGCATTGCGCTGCCGGGGCGCGTCGGCGCTCGCGACGCCGCTGCACAATTCAGAGAGCTGGCCGCGAAGTATCAGTTTGATGAGCGCATCGCCACCCACCTGGTCGAAACCGTGGGTCTAGAGACGTTGGTCGATTTCGCGCATGCCGTCACGAGCGAGAACGAGTGGGCGCCGATCCTCGAGCGCGTGCCGGATCTCGAGAGGAGGCTGGGACAGCTGTCCCGCGTGCGCCAGGCGCGGCCTTCGCCTGCGCGGGGGGGGGTCCTGCCTGGCCCGCGCCGCAGTTCGAGCGCGTAGTGCGGCAGGCGTGGAAAGCCGTGTGCGATGCCGCCCGGGAGTCCGAGACCCGGAAGAGGCGCGGTTTGGACGAGAGCGACGATGTCCCATTGCCGTCGCCGCAGCTCGCTGAATTGAGCGAGCAGTTCTTCGCTCGGTATAAGATGGCGTACCCAGCGGAGTGTGAGCCGTCCGAAGCGCTGGTCAGTAAGATCAGCAGGGAGCTGGGCAGGCGCGTCCCATTGCACGCGGAGGGGGTGACCGCGTCGCGCGCGCGGCCCATCATGGTCGGCAGGCGCCAGGTGACGATGATGAGTGTATGGAAGGTCCGCACGTTGCTGAATGCCGCGAGGGCTGCCAGGAAGCGGCAGCGCATTGGGGATGTCGAATTCGTGTGCGATGAGAAGGAAGATCCGGATCCCGCGAAGGACTTGAAAACCTATATCGCGTTGCACCAGGTTCTCATGGTGGCATACGCGCGCGCTGGGGTGAAGCCGATTGACCCGGCGCCCGGGACGCCAGAGAAGGCGTCTTCGGATACGACGGATTTCGTGCAGATTCCGTTGGATGTCGCGATGGCCTACCATTTCCGTTTGGTCAAGTACGCCAGTGCGATGCCGTTCTCGATTGCGCTGCCTAACGTCGTGCGTCGGGACGAGGAGGAGCGCGCTTGGTGGACGGACAGGGTCCGCACCAGCGAGCTGAGCGTCGGGAAGATAATCCGCGAGGGCTTGCAGACTCGCGAGGTCATGTGGAGCCCGCCCTCACCGCCAGCTCCCGGGCCGCAGCGGCCGCCGACGAGCGTCGGGCGGAGCCAGCGGACAGGTGGCAAGGGCGCGCAGTTGGGCGATCGATTGAAAGACGGAACCCAGGTGTGTCGCAAGTTCAACGCCGGGGAGTGTTCCGAGCCGTGCCCTCGCGGGTATAAGCACGTCTGTTCCGTCGTGCTCAACAAGTCGGGGCGCTTGTGTGGCATGTCGAACCACTGCGCCCTCAAGTGCACCAGGAGCCCGGGTCTCAGTTTTTGGTTCCCCTGTTAGCTTAAAGGGGGCGGCCCGGGTCCGGGGGCGCCCTGGGCCCGGGAAAGGCGACGGTTAGCGCCGAATGTTCGGAACACCCGGCGTTGTAGTTTTCGACGCGAGGAACGCGAGCGGGGGCGCGGCCGACGGCGGCAAGCGCGGCCGCAAGGGCGATTGAAACGCACCCGCTGCCGCGCCGCCCGCCGCGGCAGAAGGGGCAGTCACCAGTGGGGTCGTGTGCCCCAGCGTCGTGGGCGTGCGATGGAGCCAGGCGGACATCGCTGTGAAAATTCGGAAGTCCTTTCCGGAAGAGTGGCTGGTGGGCGTTCCCATCCCGTTCTTGCAAGACTTGTTGAATACTTCGCCATTCGTTGATTTCGCCATCTGGGCGGAGCTGCAGGACGAAGGACTACCTCTGGGATGTTCTCTGGGCAGAAATTCCAAGGGGCGCGCGAGCGCCGTGTTGGGTCGCCAGGCAGGCGTGCTCGACCACAGGCTAGCGCTGGCGCCGGTTATCGAACTCGGCGTGGGGGAGCGGGCACACCTCGCTCAATGCATCGAATTCGCGAGCGCGGGGCGATTGCCATTCGACGATGAGTACATGGCACCCGTTGATTTGAAGTATGCTGCCTTTGCCACGGTTGCGTTCGCGTGGGCCGGTGGTAATCGGCTGAGGCAGTGGCGCGAGTCTTGCGCCGGGGCGTTGAAGGAGCTTAGTCAAAGGCTGGCGCCGGTGTCCCGCGCCCTTCGGCTCTGGCAAAGCCCCTCAGTACATGCCGTGGCGCAGAACACCCACATCGCGCTGATTTGTGTTCTGACTTGGGTGATGGGTTGGCCGGATTGGCAGCTGGCCCAGAGATTTGTGACCGGCTTCAATATCGTGGGGCGATTGGAGGAGACGGGTGTCTGGGAGCGGTGCGAAAGTTCGGAACCTGTTTCTGAAGACCGCTTGTTGGCGGAGTCCACCGCGCTTTTACGTTCCAGGGACAAGCGACGGGTTGATCCTGAGGCTGAGTTTCTTTGGGAATCATGCTTGAAGGAATGCGAGAAGGGCTGGGCTGCTCCTCCGGCGTCGCTGGCCGCGATGGACCGCGAGTACGGCGCCGGGCGCTGGGCGGCCGTGCCGTCGTTCGTGCACGTGCAGCAGAACGGCAAGCGTCGGCGGATAGACGATGCTAAAGCCGGTGGGCAGAACGGCGCGACGGTGTACCCTGAGAAGTGGCACTTGCCATCAGCGTTCACGCCTGCATTGCATGGCAAAGTCTTGAGGCAGCGGTCGGGAGGTACGCCAAACACCGGAGGTGGCCTTTTCCCCCTCCCCGCCGGCCGGTGTGTCGCGGGTTTCCCGCGGGCCGTTCCCCCGGGTCCGTTCGTGTGGGCCTAGTGGGCCCCTCCGGTGTCCAAGGGGCGTGGTCCGGCCCGGTGTTTGGCGCGCGCCCTCAGGCAGGAAGCTGCGGCGGGAGGCTTTGCCGATGAGGGCTTAACCCTTGAGACTGGAGGCGAGGACCTGCCGGACGCATACAGGTCCGTGCCGGTCAATCCCGCGCAGCTGCGATATAACGTCATTGCGGCGCGGGAACCGCGCAGCGGGGAGTGGCGATACTTGACTGCATTCGCCATGCTGTTCGGCTTGTCGTCGAGTGTTATGAATTTCATGCGGTGGTCTGCCTTTCTGGAAGCCGCTGCCAGGCGCGTGGCGGCATTGTTGCACACAATGCATGTCGATGATGGCAGTCTTGGGGACCTCGGATTGGCGAAAGGCTCGGGACAGGCTTTACTCAACGTCTTGTTTTCGGAGTTGGGTACCCCGAATGCCAGCGCGAAGCAGCAGCGCATGGCCGCCACTGGGGCATTCCTGGGAGTCGATCACGACGTGTCTCGGGTTTTTGAAGGCAGAGGGGTGGTCTCCTTTTGGCCGAAGGCCAGCATGATTGACAAAATCAAAGGCCTGCTCGCGGAGCACCGTGCGCGGAACAGCCTGACACCAGCGGAGGCCTCGAAGCTCCGGGGCATTCTGCAGTGGTCGTCCTCCGCGATGTTCAACGGCGTCGGCAGCGCCGCGATGGCGCCGCTGAAGCAGAGGCAGTACACTGACGCGCCTCCGTGGGCGTTATCCCACGCGATTCGGCGGTGCTTCGATTACTTCGAATTTGTAATAGACCTTGCCCCGAAGAGAAGCGTCGACGTGAGCCCGCCCTCGTGTCCGCTGATTGCGATCGCAAGCGACGCGCGGGCTGACGGGGCGACCGCGCCCACAGGCGGCTACCTCCTGGTCGATTGCTTGACAGGGGAGCGTGTGGGAGGATGGTGTGTATTCGACGATGCCATACTCGCGGAGTGGGGTTTCTCGCCGGCGGACCGGGAGAGGGGCGCGAATCCGATCGCCCTCTGTGAGGGGGCCATGGTCCCCATTGTCCTGGCGCAAGAGGCGCGGAGGTGCCGAGGGAGGCGCATCCTGTGGGTGCTTGACAACACGAGCGCTCTCCACAGCTTCGTGAGTGGCAGGTGCGACCATGCTACCCTGGACCGGAGCGTCAAGCTTATGAATTTCTTCAAGGCGCGCGCCGCGAGGGCAAATCGCGGGGGGACGCGCCGTGCAGCGTGTCGCGCCAGTTTCACTGCGACATGTCCACCTGGCTCGAGTGGGTAGACTCGAAAAGCAACTGGTCGGACGGGATCTCACGGCGCGCCGTACGCGCGCGGGGGCGGCCTTCCCCCGAGTCGTCCACTCGCGCGGTGCCAGGCGGCTCGGCGAGGATAGCTTCGCCCGGGAGAATGTATTTCGTACCGGCGAGGTGAGAGTGGACCCGGCCGCGTGGCGCGGGTGCTTACTAGACGCGCGGCGTTGGGTGCTACGGCGCGCGGAAGGCGCGCTCCGCGAGGGCAATTCGCGGGGGGTGGGCCGCGGCGTGCAGCGCGCCGCGCCAGGCACAGTGGATTCGCCGTAAAGAAGGAGCCCGCGCAGGAGAGGTGAGCGCGGGCCCAGCCGCGGGGCACGGGCACGCTTCAGACACGGGGCGCCGTGTACATCGACGCGCGATTGCGGAGCGGCGTCGGGCCCAGAACAGCGTTGGGGGTGCAGAAACGCGGAGCCAGAGCAGCGTTGGGGAGAGCGGCATTATTGGCGAGCCACGCCAGGGTCTTGCCTTCTTCACGCAGGTGTTCCATTCGGGGGGTTTGGTCACCCCAAGGTCGTTCTGCACCCCCGGAGCACCGTTGCACTTTCTGGGGTCGGGGGACGGGGTATGGGTTGGGGGAATGGGTGGGAGGATGGGGCCGTCGCGCGCCGTGTTCGCAGGTGGAGCGCGCGCGCGCGCGGAGGAGCGGGCCGCCCGCGTGCGCTTCGCGCCGCGGCGGGGCGCGTGCGATTCGCGGCGCGCGAAAGTTGCCAGGGGCCGCGCAGGGCGCGGCGCGGGGAATAGGCTGTCGGTGATTATGCGTTGACTTTAGGCTCGGGGAGGCTCGGGTCAGGGAACCATAATCATGACAGAAGGGGACGCCCGCGCGCGCTCGCAGGGACTGCGCGCATCAGAGCGCGCAATTGGATCGTGCGAGCAAAGCGCGTTGGCGACAGCGGTTGCTGTTGGTTTGTTTCCCACCCACCACACCCTGGGCCCCGGTGGGGTTACCGGGGAGAATTTGGGATGGGCGCCGGCGTGGACTTCGTCGTGCAAGAGGCGATGCGCACCGGCTGCGAGGGGTCCTGCCTCGGGTCGGCCGAACGTGTGCGTCGCAGGTGCGAGAACGCCGCGCAGGTCAGCGCGTGCGGGGAGGGGGCCTTCCTTCCCTGGTGGCCGCTGGCAGCGGTCGCATCACCAGGTGTAACGTCTGACAGGTGCGCGACATGTTTTGCGCGCGCGAACACGCCCGCCGTATCCCGACCCCCGGTGGGGTGCTCGGGTCGGCGAGGGCGGCGCCGGACGCCGGCAGTGTTCGCTTTCCCCGTGGGGAGAGCGGCATTACTGGCGAGCCACGCCAGGGTCTTGCCTTCTTCACGCAGGTGTTCCATTCGGGGGGTTTGGTCACCCCAAGGTCGTTCTGCACCCCCGGAGCACCGTTACACTTTCTGGGGTCGGGGGACGGGGTATGGGTTGGGGGAATGGGTGGGAGGATGGGGCCGTCGCGCGCCGTGTTCGCAGGTGGAGCGCGCGCGCGCGCGGAGGAGCGGGCCGCCCGCGTGCGCTTCGCGCCGCGGCGGGGCGCGTGCGATTCGCGGCGCGCGAAAGTTGCCAGGGGCCGCGCAGGGCGCGGCGCGGGGAATAGGCTGTCGGTGATTATGCCTGTTTGCCTGTTTGGGTGATCAGACTCGTGGGCACAGGAGGCTCCAACAGGCCCAGGATGCCCCAGGAGACCACATGAGGTCCCAGGAGGCATCAGGAGGCCACATAAAGATTCAAAAGGCCACAGGATGTCCCAAGAGGCTCCAGGAGGCCCCAGGAAGCTCCAGGAGGCCTCAGGAAACCACAGGAGGCCCCAGGAGGCCACAGGATGCGCCAGGAGGCCTCGGAAGGCAACAGGAGGCCCCGAAAGGCCGCAGGAGCAGGAGGCCTCAGAAGGCAACAGGAGTGACTCCAACCCCATGTGTTTGACGTACGCTCCTATGGACTGGGCCTCACCTGGAGCACGAACCCTTGACGTTACACGTATGTCTCTATAGATTGTCCTTCTCCCGTGTACACAATCCTGACTGTTTTACCTATGTTCCTATATCTTGGGCCTCTCCTGGGGCCCCAGTCCTTGGTGTTTTACCTGTATCCCTATAGACTGGCCTTCTCCTGCGGCTCCAATCCGCAATGTTTTATTATGTACGTTTGTTGCTATATATTGGGCCTCTCCTGGGGCACGAACCCTCCCCAGGAGGCCCCAAGAGGCTCCTGGAGGCGCATAGGCGCGCTCGTACTACTGAGGCTCATCCACATTCCAATTCATTCGCAGCTATATTCATGACCAGACAATTGCAACTGAAGCCCGTTTATATTCGAAAATTCTTGCGCCTAGACATTCACGGCGGACAGGTCCATGCGAATAGATGCACATATGGGAAGCTCCACGCAGTGAGTAACTATTATTGACGGTCCCGAGGCCCAGCGAGGATCCTTTGAGGCCGAAAACTGAGAACAATTCCGCACAGAGTTTCTAGAGACGTTGGAGGTTTGAGATTGTTGCCCCCTGCAGATGATCGCGGAGCCCCCCTAACTCTAGGCCTCGTAGATGGAGTCGGGGTAGACGGGGTCGAAGGACCGCGACGCATCGCCGACGCGGCTCCATGTGGACCCCGATGTTCCCCACGTCGACGTCGCCGATGCATCGGCGATGCATGGGCAATGCATAGGAAATGCACCGCCAATGCGGCGCGATCCTCCGACCCCATCATTCCGACCTCATTTGGGACGCCTCATTTGACATCATCTCACCGTGGTGCCGGGGCTGCTGATCTTCGGGGTAGGGCACGTTCGAGGCTGGTTAATATCTAGGCCTCCTAGATGGGGGCGGAGTAGATGGGGTCCGAGGATCGCGCCGCATTGCCGATGCATCGCCGATGCGGCTCGATGTGCAGCCCGATTTGCGTCACGTCGACGTCGCCGATGCATCGCCAGCGTCGACACAGCGTCGACGATTCATCGCCAGTGCATCGCCGATGCATCGCCGATGCATCGGCGATGCATTGCCGATGTACGGGCGATGCGGCGCGATCCTCCGACCCCACCTCTTTCCGACCCCATCTGGGAGGCCTCGATGTACTGACCTTGCACCCACAGGGGCCCGCGAGAGCGCGGCCGCCGCGCTGCCGAGCCCGGCCCTCAGCGCGCCAGCGCCAGCAGCTGCGACGTGCACTGCGACGTGCGCGGCCTGCTGCAGCCGCCTGCGGCCGGCGCGGGGCACCGAGGCGCCGCGGCGGGGCGGGAGAACGGGATGCTCGTGTCGAGGGCCTTCCAAAGGATCCACCTAACGTTGGAGCCGTCTGGAGCTCTGATGTGGCCCAGCACTGGTTCCGGCTATCAGGAAGGGGGGGCAGTCTCGGGGTTCTGTCTGGGTTCGGGAAGGTTTTCTAGCTTTTTCGACCTCGGGACCGCGTTCGAGCCCTGGAACCGTGAAAAAAGGAGTTGGGGTGAAAAACTGCACCAGATGGACCCTGGGAGAGCTCGGGTGACCGATTTTGAGCAGATTTGGGTTCATCTCCACCTCCTGACTGACTCTCTGGGGCCCCAACCAGTTCAGCCCCCTGGCCGCCTCCAAACCTAACAGATCTGTTCACATCTAGTACGACTCTAGCTCGGCGTAAGCCGCCTCAGGAGGGGATAACCGGCCTGAAGCATATCTGGGCGCATGTCGTAGGGGTCAGCGCTAACGGGGTCAGCCACCCCCTTCTGTCTGACACGGTAGCAGATCATTGGGGGCCTTGTATACCCTCGCAGTTCCGTCTTTACATTGCACTCGTGTCGATCAGTGTCTGGCAGTCGATGAGATAGCGCCGATCTAGCGTCGATCAGCGCCGAATTCGCCCGTCGATCCGCAAGAGCCAGATTATGGGAGGCTGACGCTCGAAGAAGAAACAACTGCAGAAACATAAACTTTCCACGGCCCGCATGGATTTTAGGATCGGCGCTTGGCGCCCCTGGCGGCGCCTCTGTTGCTGCCCCTGTTGCGCTCTGCGCGCCAGGGAGGGGGTTCCAGCGCCGATCCAAGCAATCCGCGCTGAGCTCTGAACGTCAGGTTTGTGCTTCCTTCAGAAGCATATCCCATTCCTGTGACTGGCAGCACCTTTCTCAGGTGTCGATCTCCAAGGTTCCCTCGATTCTCTGAACGGCGCCGGCGCGGATGGTGGCGTGACCAGGGGGGGAGGGGGGGGCGCTGGTCACGGGCGTGATCGCGAATCATGAAAACACAGGCTCCAGGCGCCTCTCATCGGGGGGGGCCGGATGGGTACGGAAGCAAAGGCTGGGTACGGAAAACATGTGTACATTATGATCATTCTGGGCAGAATCTGCTGTCGGCGTCGCCGCGGTCGTTTGTTATCCTTACGGAACTCAAGGTCGCCTGCCCAGCAGCGGCCGCTGCCGGTTTTGGACAGCATGTGTTGTCAGGCATCGTACCCATTTTTCCGTACGCATTTTGGGCGTCCGAATCGGGACAGGAGGCAGGTGCCTCTCAGGGCGGCAGATGCTTCTCAGGGCGACGACGACGCCAGCGGCGTCGACCCACAGATCCTGGCGTCTCGGTTTTTTTCGAGCTGGGCGTCTTCGCCGGGTTTCGGGCCCCGTTCCACGGATCGATTCAGAAATGATCGGATGAACACTGGTCGTGATATCTCGCGATGCTGCAGTTTTGGTCTCGGCGGCGCGCCCGCAGGGGAAGTGAAAGGGGGCATGCCTCAGAAGGCGTCGTAGCTTCTCAGAAGCCCTCGCGCCTTCTGAGAAGCCGTCCCTGTCTTCGCAGAGGGTTTCGGCACTGCCTCAGAAGACCGACCTTGACTTCCCCCTGGACTCGCCGCCGAGTTTCGCGACGTCGGACCTCAGGGGAAGAGGGGGATCGAGGGTTGTCACAGGTGTCCGCAAGATTTCCGGGGAGGCCCAGGTGGCTTCAGAACACCCTCTCTCGAGGCCCGGGAGGCGCCAGGGTCCTCCAAATTGGCGCGAAGAGCTGGGGAAATGCTGGGCCAGGCACACCCCTGGCAAACCCCGGAGGGAGGACGCGTGTGAACACTGCGTCGTGCCCGAGCCTCTTGGGGCGAAACAGACGTGTGCTGAAGCACCTTGGGACGACATGAGTGGAAGGCAGGATCCTGCGGTGCCGGAGGGGTCAATTTCTCAATTCCGTTGCGGTCTCGCTCTGAATCGGCCTCGGCCTGGCCCCGATTTGGCCCAGGAATGGCGCGTTGGCCGTTGTGTTGGCCCTGTTCCTGGTTCAAAGCGATGGTATGCGCTGGGGCATTGTCCACATTCCTGAATTGAAACACCAGTCTCACCCTACGCTTTGCAACATTCCTGACTCAGTGGGGTGCGCTCTAGCCTTAGCGACGGACGTGCTTTCAGCTTGACTTGCCTCTCTCGCCGTGACGCCTGTCACAGCATTAGAGCTTCCGGCTCTCAGACTTCCAGGATGACAGCCTCGAGACCGCCTGGACGACGTGACCGCTGAAGTACGTATGATGTCAGAGGACGATTACGACCCTGGCGACGAGGTCAAGCTGCTCCTCAAGGGCTCCGACGATCTGTCCGCTGTCGCGAAGCTTTGCACGTGCGGGAGGCGTGTTGTCATCAGTTCGAGGGTTGGTGAGCCAGGGGGCGCAGTGGAATCTCGTAATGGCTGCGGCTGTGCCAGCCCCCTGCGTGGGGAGGCCTGACTGCGCCCATGTCAAACCACGCTGTTCGGTTACCCTCAGACCTTCCGTGCGGATAAGCCTCGAGAGAGCGAGCGGGACGAGGTCAGATCTATTTTGTGGGAGATGCTCGACGGTGTTGATGGCGTGGACGGTTTTTGTCAGCTCATGTCAGTGCTCCATTCTCTGGCAGGTGAAGTTTGCCATTACGGACGCGCAGTGTGTGGCGGTGGCTGAACGCCAACAAAGGGCGCCGCTTGTACCACAACTCGCAGGGCATCGCCACTCAGCTGCGGCACAGCGTGGACAAGCCACGGGAGGATAGGGATGGACTCTGGCAAGCGTCTCCGCGTGGGCTGAAATCTCTCCCCCCCTTTCCCGGATCAACCGCGCCAGCATGCACACCAGCGCCATGCAATGCGTCGGGCCTCATCGGACCGTCGGAGCATCGATATAGGACTGGATCGGGTGGGCCAGGACGCACGACGCCGTCCGCCGACCCTTCGTCTCAGCGTTTTGTTAACGCGCCCCTGCCTGGCCGTCACCCGACGGTCCCAAGAGGTGAGTTGTTCTGTTCTGTGGCTGCCGTGGACATGTCTGTGGTTGCCGTGGACATGTCTCGGGGTCCTCTGGCCTACATTACAGATAACGATGAAGTCACTAGGGGCTTTGGGAGTAGGAGTTTCGAGTTCCCTCAGGGGCGCAATGCGTATCTTTCGAGTCGAGAAGTCTGCACGATGCCATGCAAGTGTAGGACCGCAAGCCTGGGGACCTGCGCGTACTGCAAGTCCCTTCTCGTGTAGATGGCACAGAAGTGTATGCCAGGGGTCTCCCTGGTCACTTGGTAGCTGGGAACGTATGTGATTATATTGATGGGGGCGGCCGCTAAGATGTTTAGTGTCTCCGCCGAGCAGAGAGCTAGGGTCTTTCGTCTAGAGGGCGAGGTCCGACTCATTCGTGAACGGCAGTTGAGGGCTACCCTCGAGGCGTGCAAGGTTGAATCGGGAAAAGGTCCAGCGCCCTGCTGCTCCTGCCGTTGCTCCCCCGCCTGCTTCCGTGTTCGCCTTTGGTCACTCTTGTTATGTGGTGGAGCCTTGTGGGAAAATTGTTCTCGGTGCCATAGTGCGTGCTCGCTGCAAGGAAAGGCCGAATGGTTATCATCGGAACGTCGTTCCCGAATTAGGGCGAGTAGTGACACTTTATGGGTTCCTCATGGTTGGCGGGTACATCTCGTTGGCCGTTGGGGCCATCAGTCGCACGGCGTTTTACCACGATTACTTGTCCTTTTGGTTCTGCAAGTCGTGTGGAAGGTTCTTTTCTTCCAGCCTCATGCGCTTGCGGATGAGTGCGAGCCGCCCGACTCCCCAGTGAAGAAGGCGCGGCGAGTATATTTCGACCGTGTCTCACGTAACCTTTGGCCTAACGTGATCAGCAAGGCTGAGCAGGCGGATCGGGGTCGGCTTTTCGTAAGTATTCGCTTCGCGACTGGTCTCATCTCATCTCATCCCCCCACAGGGCCCTCCCCTCCATTCTCTGAGCACGCCAGAACAGCCTCACCCTCCTTCGCCCACCCCGAACCTCACCCCCGATTCTGACACCGCAGAACAAAAAAAAACGCTTGGCCGCTGCTATCCCTCAATGGAAGAATGGGGCGCCCTGCTAGTCGCGCGCGGACCAGGTCTTGGCCGCGCCACCTTCACGTGGACCATAAAAGGCGGGCCGACGACGAAGCGCGGGCTGAGCAAGGAACGAACACGGAGCGGGTATGCGATACGCTGACGAGCAGAGGAGAGGCGGAATGGAAGAGCCGACAACACCTTCCGGAAGGGAGGAAGGAGGAAGAGAAGAGGAGGAGAGGAATGAAGGAGGGAGGAGGAAGGGAGGAAGGAAGGGAAGAGAAAAGACGGGATAGGAGGAAGGGCAGGGGAGATGAGGAAGGGACAGGAGCAGCACACAGTTTTCGCCGCCCCCCCCTCTCCCCTCCACGGGAGCGCGCGGGCGAGGCCGCCGCGGTGTCTTGCGCGAGGTGCGGGGGTGCGCCGCCTGCGCTCGCCTCGGGGCGCGTCCGCGCGGAGTGGCAGAGGCGGCGTCGATGGGGGGGGTCGGCCACGCGCAGACGGGGGGCGGGGGGCGGGGGGAGGGCCTCTCCGAAGCAGCCCTGCTTCTCAGGAGGCGCGGGCCTCATCTCCAGACGCAGGGCCGCCGCCTTCCAAAAAGCGGCCTCCTCCTCAGGAGCCCCCCCCCTCCATCCACCCCCTCGTGCGCGCCGTCGAGGGGGATCGGCGGCGCGCCGAGCCGGCGGGGAAATCCGCACCCTGCCCTCGCCGATCAGCGAGCCAGGCAACCCGATGGGCGGCGGGGTTGCAGGGTTCGGAAGTCGTCGAACACGTGGCGATTCCAAACCCTGCACCCGTCTCCGGTCGTTTCGCGAGAAGCGATGGCTGGTAGGGGTAAGGTTCGGATGTCGCCACCTAGCGCTTTCCTCGGCTTTCGCCGGTGCTCCAGCCTCGGGGTGCTTTCCAGCAGCCGCGCCTCGTCGAGAGCCCCAGATCGTCCCGAACGGCCGCTGGAGGCCCGAGGCATGACCTGAAAAAACTCCACTTGGCGGCGCGCTGAGGGGGGGGCAAGTGAAAAGAGCGAATACGTTTCCCAACTCAGGGACTTCTTTTGGCACTGCAGGACTCCAGCAACCCTGCACGTAGCCTCGCCTTGGCACAACGCGCTCAAGCGTCGAGGCTACGTGCAGGGTTGCTGGAGTCCTGCAGTGCCAAAAGAAGTCCCTGAGTTGGGAAACGTACTCGCTCTTTTCACTTGTTGGGAGGGCGCAGGCCTTCTCGGAAGGCGGCGGTGCTTCCCGGAAGCCCTCTGGCTGAGAAGCCCGCTGTGGCTTCGGATAGAGCGCAGAGAGCTCAGAAGGCTGGTGGCCATCGGGGCCTTCCGAGAGGCCCCGCCCCCTCTGCCTTCCCTCCCCCTCCTGACCCCGCCGCCGAGAGGAGGTCACCGCCCACCAAACCACCCCAACCCAACCCGAAGGCCCCAATTTGCCCTCCATTTCCAGTTGAGAAAACACACATGAAGCCCGTACCCCCCCCAACCCGAAATTCGGGTCTTCGGGTTGGGTTGGGGTGGATTGGTAGGTAGTCAGGAGGGGGGGGGATGGGCGATGATCGACGCTCGAGGATCGACGTTTTTGTTGCCAATTATCGTGGGCCCTCTGGGCGCTTCCTCGGTGGCCTCCTGGGGTGGCCTCCGGGAGCCTTGGGGTCTGAGGATCGGGGGTTGGATGAGATTCGTTTGGTGAGGAGAGCTGAGAGGGTCGTTTTCGGGAAGGCGTGGCGGCCGGAGAGGCGTGGGGAGCTCTCTGATTGGGCGGATCACCACATGCGCGCAGTTCCTGCGTCTTTCCGTGGGGGGTCAAGGGGGAGGAAAGGCATGCAGGCAGGCAGGAGGGAGTGCGGAAGAGGACGGGATGATGGAAGGGGGACGAAGGGAGGGGATATTCTAAGAAAGGAAAATGATCGAGGACGCTTGCGGCGACTCTTGGGGCCTCGGTGTATGCTTGGGGCAGTATGAGGCCTTCTTGGAGTCAGATCCATGTGGGCCATATTGGGCCATATTGGCCGTCTTGGGGAACATTTTTGACCGTCTTGAAAGCCTTGAAAGCCAGCTTCCGTTATCTTTCTTCCTCATGGTTTTGGTTCGGGACGTTTCGCGTTCACCGCCCGCCCATTCCAGTTCTCGGCACAAGAGGCGAATATTTTTCCAAGACGGGATGGGTATACCATACCCTCCCGCTTGCGTGTGTGTATTTGTGTATGCGTGCGTGTGCGGTGTGCTCGGTGTGCTCGGTGTGTTCGCGTGTGTGTGTGTGTGTGTTTGCATGCGTGCGTGCGTGCGTGCAAGCGTGTGCGTGATGTGTGTGTGTGTGTGTGTGGTGTGTGTGCGCGTGTGTTTGCGTGTGTGCGTGCGTGCGTGCGTGCGTGCGAGCGCGTGTGTGTGTGTGTGTGTGCGTGTGTGCGTGCATGTGTGTGTGTGTGCGTGCGTGCGTGCGTGCGTGCGTGCGTGTGCGTGCGTGCGTGCGTGTGTGTGTGTGTGTGTGCGTGTGTGTGTGTGACTGTGTGTGTGTGTGTCTGTGTGTGTGCGTGCGTGCGTGCGTGCGTGCGTGCGTGCGTGCGTGCGTGCGTGCGTGCGTGCGTGCGTGTGTGTGCGTGCGTGCGTGCGTGCGTGCGTGCGTGCGTGCGTGCGTGCGTGTGTGTGTGTGTGTGTGTGTGTGTGTGTGTGCGTGAGTGCGTGTGTGTGTGTGGTTGTGCGCTTGTTCCTGCGCTCTATTGCTTCAGGATGTCATCGTCGAGTGGGCTCAGGCATGCCGTGTGGCTGATCGATGCCCCTCATTAGTACCAGCGGATCAATGGCATGGACGCTGCCTCTCTGGACCTTTGCTGCCTATCCACACCAGGAGGCTACAATAAGACACTGCCCACAATGAGCCCAGGACGGCCCGAAGGCGGCCCAGAAGGCAGCAACTAGATCCGAAGAGGGCCCTGAGACGGGCTCCAAATGGGCCGAGCTGGACCCGAGGAGGACCAGGCGAGTTTTTTGACGGACCAACCGCAAGCTTCCCGCCCGGGGCCCGAAAGCCGTCCGAACATCGTTGGGATCAGGGCGACACCGAGGCCAGTTCGGACCGCGTTTTGGGGCCCAGGTTGGGCCCATACTCGTGCACACATGGACCCAGGATTCGTCAAACTCGGTGCCGACCTTAGCATGCGTAAAAATGCTCGTGCCGAGCTCGCAGATCGGTTATAATATGCGCCCAGGCGATTCCCGGCAAGGCGAATTTCCAATCATTGACAGGATTTGTGTGGTGTGCCAGGAGCAGATGTAAAAGGTCAACAACGGGCCCCGAGGGGACCGAACTGAAGAAACACCGCACCACGAAAGATCATGTGAAAACCAGTATGAAATCCGAGGCCGTCTTGGACCATCTCTTCCCTTAGAATGGGATCCAGTGCCCTTCGGGAGGGTGAAGCGGGTGATGAGGACAGTCGATTGATTTCCTCACACGCCTGTCCTTTCGAAGAACCACAAAGTGCACACACAACCACATACTTGTTCGGAGGTCCGCGCAGCGCCTCCCGCTTCGTTCCAAGAGATCCGCGCGGACCTCCGAGGAACCATGTCTATGCCGTCTCTCGCTCCTCTGTACTCGCCCAGGGCAAGCAGGGGGTCGGCAGATTTTGTGGTGCCGGCCCTACCGGGCGCATGAGGGTGGGGGGCGACGGGCGCGCCCCGGTGCCGCAGGCCAGCGGCGGGGTCCCCCGAGCGCGACCGGCTGCTGCTGCTGTGCGGCGGCGCGGGCAGCGAGAGCGAGGGCGCCGCCCGGGGGGGGTCGGCGGGCGGCCAGCCCGCAGCGGCGTGGCCACGTCGGGGTGGGAGGGCGCCTGGCGGGATCTGGCGCGCCAGCCTCCAGAGAATCGACGAACGATTGGCGGCGGCGATGAGGAGGCACTTTACCTACCCTCGGACCGTCCCGGGGTGCGGGAGACAGTAAGGGGAGGGTAATAAGGACGGGGTGCAGGGAGCGGGGTGGGGAGGGGGAAGGGGAGGGGAGGCGAGGCGAGAAGGAGGAGCAGAGGGAAGAGGGGGCCGAGGAGGAGGAGGCAGAAGGAAGAGGGGGAGGAGGAGGACGAGGGGGAGGAGAAGGGGCAAGATGAGGAGTGGGGAAGGGTGGAGGAGGAGAGGAATGGGAATAGGAGGGGGAACAATGAGGATGTCATACTGTCTGGCCGCGAGATCCTGGTCTCCATCGAGAGCATCATGAAGGTGAGGTGCACCGCGGCCGCGGCCCGGCCAGGCCTGCCGACGCCAGCGGCCCGTCGCCGACGCGCCAAGCAGTACAGGCCCACGATCGAATGGTCTAAGAGCTCCTTGTGATTTGCAGGAGATGCTCTTAGAGCAGTTCTTGCTGAGCCCGTGTCGTTTTCATACACCGGCTGTATGTTATGAGAGCATTGTCTTCGCTCTTCAAACGTTCCTTTGCTCTAAGAACATCTCGTGGTAGGCCTATAGGAATGCCAGGGCCCGTCGGTCCCTGCTCCAACGAGGCCGCCGCCCACGGTGTTGAGTTGCCCCCAGGTCCGGCGGGCGCCGCTGGCCCGCTGAGGCCCCGCTTGCGGACGATTCGGAGCCCACGGGCAGCACATTTCCACCACCACGCGCAGCGCCAGTGATGGGCGGCGAGTTCCGAACCCTGCCCTCGGCGATTCACCTGGGTAGGGTTCGGAACTCGTGGCGATATCCGAACCCTCTTCCCGCCTCGCATCGACCCAGGAGGATCGATGGTGTGGGCCCGGCGTAGGATTCGGGTGTCGCCACCGAAGAAGTGATGGTTGCCAAGCGCGCCTCGCGGCACGATTCCCGGCTTCACCGCCGCGGCCTGCGTCCCCTCGGCCTCATTCGCGAGGGCGACCTCCGCCGCGGGCCCCAGCACTGGCCCGCGTGCACCGCCACGAGCTCACCGAGGTCCTCCGCCGCGCCCGCCGCCACCGGGGCCTCCTCATTCTTGCCTTCCAGTGCGGAGCGGGCGCGGCGCCGCAGGGAGGGACTCCCGCGAGAACATCCTCGCGCTGCTGGTGGCCTCCGTCGTCCGTCTCGCCGGGCTCCTTCAGGCGCCAGCTGCAGCATGGACGCCAACGGCCGGCGCCAGGACCAAGGCATGCCCGAGGCGCGTCAGGCGGCCAGCCTTGGTGCCCAGCAATCTCCTCGGAGGCGCGGGGGAGATACTGGATGACACGGCCTTCTGCCCGCGCGTGCTGCGTCCGCCGCTCGCGGAGGAGGTGCCGGATGACGCGGCCTTCCGCCCGTGCATAGTGCGCTCTCCGCTGAGCGATTACGGCGCCGTCGTCGGCGCGGATGCGGATCCATGCCGCAGGCCTGGAGTGAGCATAGGTCGCCAGAATTTCGACGCTGCGCGGAACGCCGGTGGTGCTGGTTGGCGAGTTCAGTCCGAATTAGCTCGAGCCGAGCTGGCACTCGGGAGGAGGAGAGGAGGGAGGGAATGATAATGGGGGGAGGAAAATGGAAGTGATGAGCATGAGGCGGGGAGGGAGGGGGATGAGCAGGATAAGCAGATGGAGGATGATAAGAACAATGAGAGAGGAAACCAAAGAGGATGATGAGAGGGATATGAACGATGCTGATGAGGAGAATGCAAAACGGAGGGGAAGGAGGAAAGACAAAGTCGAGGAGGACTGGGTTGCTTATCATGTTCTCTGATCTTCCCTCCTCCCTTGGACCATACATCGGAAGGGGGAAGTGTCAGCGGAAACGCCCGGACTGGCCTACTGACGAGTCTGGTGGTGCGACGAGGTCGAGTCATGTATCAGAGTGAGAGTGCCGAACGGTCTCACATGGTCCTTGTGTGCGGGGCTGAAGTGTGGTTCCACTGCGGACTGTCGTCCTTGTTGTCGTCTTCCCCCATCGACCCGCTGTGCGAGTCGCCCACACCGCGACCCGCTCCTCCTGCAACCGGGCCCACCCACGGCCATGCGCAACACAGCCGCGACGCTTTGGACGACAAAATCGGCGCCTGCGGCCCGGCGCGTCACATAGGCTCTCTTGAACGCCGCTGCGCGCCCCCCCTGCCCGTGCGGCGCGCGGACGGCACGCCCTACGAGCCACCGACAGTGCTGCAACCGAGTCGATCAGTGCTGCGGTCCGAATCACCCGTGCTCTTTTCAAAAGATTTGAAGTCGGCGCCTCTGGCAAGCTGTTTCACATGGTTGGGGGTGACACGAGAGTGTGCAAGTGGCGCCGCGGGCACGCTTCTTACACACTATCCCCCACCTTTGGGACAGCGTGCACCGAAGAATCCCGGGCAGGGTGACAGCGTGCACCGACGGGGCCCTCGCAGGGGGATCGCCTCACAGTGATGGCGTGCTTTCCGGAGGTCAATGTTGCACGCTATTTTTCCAAGTCCAACCGTGCATGCTGTTTTGTTCCGGAAGAGGCCGCTGTGCGCCCCCGCCCGCGGGGCCCACGACACGCCCTGCGATCACCCGACATTGCTTCAATCAGATCGGCGCCTGCTCCGGGCAGACCCACGCACATGCCAGCAGTGGCGAGGCGTTTTGGCTTGCCAAGAGGCCCACCAAAGAACGTTCTAAGAACCTTTTTGTCTTGTTCTTTATCCAAGCACTTTTTAATTCTAAGACATGTCCGTGGCAGGAAGGCATGCCGGGACGGTCGGTCCCTGCTCAACACCGCGACCGGCTGCTTGCACCGCCACTGGAGAAAGCCACCCGATGCCCTCGACCACGCGACTTTTCGACGGCCACTTGTCGCTTAGCCTTGGCAAGGCAGCCGAGGCGCCCCCTCACGCGTAACCGCAACTGCTGGGCCCGAAGAGGGGTGGTGGTCGGTCGGCCATGGCTTTGCGCGGTCGTTGTGCCTTCGCAGGTGACGCGCACACCGTGCGAGAGGGGGGGAGAACTTTTGCTCAGGGTTTCCGCCGCCCTCCCCCGCCCTCCCCAAAGAAAGGAGGCCAGACCACGAGACCACAAACTCCCAGGCAGCCCATCGCAACGACACAAGAGGGCGGCGGAATGCGCGAAGCGCAAAACACGAACAAGGCCAGCTCATGAACTACAGTACTTACGGACAAAAGGAATATATGCCAGCCAGCCAGGAGGAGGGGGGGAGGAGCACGGAAGAAGGGAGTTCTATCACGAATGCATGTGCAAGGCCATGATGCGCAGATCAGGAGAAAAGTCGCTCGGCACGAGTCATACTTAGTAATGGCATCAGGGGTGGCGGAGCAGGTAGGAGAGCGGTGGTGGGAAGAGGGAGGGAGAAGCAGAGAGGAGGGCGAAGCACGGGGCAAGAGGAGGAGGACAAGGATGAGGAGGATGAGGCGGAAGACGACAGTTGTTCCGCCTCTCCAATGAGAGTCCTCGCGAGTCTCGCACCCTTGGAGGCGACAGCGCGCCTGCCCAAGACGCGTGCTCCTACGCCGTGTGCGAGGCGGGGGGGGACTTTCGCCTTCAGCGACCGGGTAGCAGAGACGGCGCGTTCCAATGTTGTTTATTCGGGGCTTCTAGCCCATGGCTGGTCCAGTAGCAAGTCATGGGAGCCTGGCATGTCCTCGCAAACCCGTCTCTAGAGTGCATTCACGTACGCTAGCGTCTGGTCATCAATGAGAAAGCGACGACGCAGCATCGATTAGCGTCGATTCAAGTTTTTTTGCTCATTGTCGAGTCGCAGCAGCGAAATGGTAATTAAGCTCCCATGAGTTGCCGCAGAAGGCTGGTTGGGCCGATGTTAGGTTTTGTTTTTGGGCTTCCGCGCCCAAGAAAATTCTGACCAGACCCAGATCGTCCTTCCTCCGTCAGGGTTTGCTGCTGTGTCGGACAGTAGTGTGTTGGTCAGGCTTAGCCCCATGGGTCAAGGAGATTAGCATGCTACAGCATGCATCATTGTGTCGGTTGAGCGCGATGTTGACGTGTTTAGGGTTCTGTTCGTCGAGTCCTGGTCTGGGGTACTCAGCGCGCTCACCTTCTGCTGGGCCACAGGGCGCCAGCAACAGGCAGCTTCTCCTAGCTCCCTGTCTGCAACGATGCGCCTGGCGGTAGCCTTTGAGGTCTGTAGGAGATTTTTTGCATCCTTTGTCACCGGTCGAGGTGAGTGGGGGGCAGAACCGAGTTTGACCGCTTCGTCGTCCCGACTCTTTCTTTTTCGTTGTTCCCGCCGCGCCGCTCCCTGGGGTAGGGGGGCGGCGTTGGAATGGTAAAGGGAGGGGATAGGGAGACGGAGGGACGCAAGGGAGGTGGTTGCAGAGGATGACATGAGGGACGGGTGGAGGGTCGACGCTCCCGTGGCACTGCCCCGCGCTTCGCCGCAGCTATAACATCCTGCCATGCGCGCGCGACATGTCGGGCAAGGGCGATGCAAGTGCCATGCGGGGACATGGTGGGGCGAGGAGGCTGGAGAGGGGCAGAGGGATGAGGGAGGAAGAAAATACCAGCCGAGGCGATATGACGTGTCGTTGTGCACTTCTGACATTATGAGTTGTGATCTGACATGCGGAGTGCATCATGTTGTTGCATTGTGTTGTACACGCTGGTTTTCTTGTTCCACGGTTTGATTCCACTCTATGCCTCTCTTGTGCTTGGTTGGATCTCGTTCTCTGAATATCTCTGTTCCAGCGCGCGCTACGCTTCTGGACCTGATTCCTCTCTGCTCGTTTTCGCCCCCCTTCTTTTCCAAAGTATCACTTCTCTCTGCCGATGCTGTTCCCTTTCGTCTTTCGCAGCGCTGAATTTCACTGATTGCCCAGCAAAGGATGAGTTCGGCCTTTCAGGACATAATTACCACACTCGACGAAACAAAAAAAAACAAAAAAAAACACTCGACGGATAGAAGAGGATTCCACCCGCCGAGAAGCGATTGGTGGGAGGAGCTAGGCTGCCAGATGCGAGGCGTGAGCGCACCTTGCTTGCCTCCTCTTCTCTTTCATGCATTCTCCATCGTCCTCCTCCCTACTCCCACCTTCTTGCTCCCCACCTCCCTCCTCCCTCCCTACTCCCTCCTCCCTACTCCCACCTTCTCTTTCCTGCATTCTCCTCGTCCTCCCTCCCTTGCTTCCCTCCTCTTCTCTTTCTGCATTCCCCATCCTCCGTTTTTCTCTCATCCCTTTTCCTCTCCCTCCTGCCCCGATCGGTGCGCTCCCGACGCGCACCCCCGCTGCAGTCCTGCGCGCGGCTGCCCCACAGCGAGCGGCCGGCGCGGGGCAAGCGGCGCCGACTGCCGGCGCTGCCTCCACAGTGCAGGTCGCGGGGCCGCGCGGGGCCATCGGGAAGGCAGGAAGCCTTTTTTCCCTAACTGGCGTCACCGGGCGGGGGGTAGGAGGTGCAGGGCGCCGGTCACGTCACGATTCGTGCCGGCGTCGTTCGGAAGTGCCTGGATGAATGGCCAAGTAATCCCCACACGGCGCCAGCGCGAGTTGAATGCAACCAGAGGGGTGAGCGAGGTCAGAGTGGTGGGACTTGTCACGAGCGTCACCGCGACTAATCGAACAAAGGCTCCAGCCGGAGCGCGGATCCTGCTGGTCGGAGCAGGCGTTCGGTGGTCGGTCTGATTTCAATGGGTACGGGAAGAATGAGCACGACGATCGACAGCGGTTGTTGTCCATTTTGAACCGGACTCGCTGCCGGTGTCCCCGCGGATGCGTGCCCCCATTTGAGACAGAAAGTTGGTTGCCCAACAGCGGCCGTTGTCGGTTTTGGACAACCTTTGTTGTTGGGTGTCGTACCAATTTTCTCCGTACGCGCTTCGGGCGTGCCAAAAGGGGGGGGGGTCAAGGCATGGGGGGCTGATCGACGAGTGCAGGGCAGTGACATTAATTCACGGGGTCATAAGCGGCCCTTGAACCTCAGCCGCGGGCTCAAAAGGTGCGCGAGCGGTGTGCACGTGTCTTCACCCCTCCCGCCAGCGACGGCGGGCTGATCGGAGTTTGGGGGATGAGGGAACTATCCTCCTCCCCCCCGCCTGCTTCTTCATCCCTCCTCCTTCTCCTCCTCCTCGATCCCTCCCTCGCTCCCTGCTCCACAAACTCAAGCACAAGCGACATTTTGGGGCAGGTCTCCTTGGGAAGGGGCTTGCTGAAGCCCTCGTCTCTCGGGGAAAGGGGTCATTGTTGTGCCTTCTGTCTCGCTCTCCTCAGATCGTTGCGTTTCCATTGCCATGTTGCTCTTCTGTCTTGCCATGATCTCTCTCATAGTTACCTCGTCTTGATGTTTCGCATCGTTCTGTTTGTCGCCCTCGTTGCCATTGGTGCCCGTGCGCGATCTGATCCTGTTCTTCTCTCTCTCTCTCTGTTCCAAAGTTTATCATATTATTCTCGCCGAGGTGGGCAACATCGGCCCGAGAGGTGGGGTGGTGTTGCGATCGGCTCCAGCATTCGCGGCGCCGCGTCAATCGTAGGAAGGGCGGACCTGTCTCACCGATCGGCTGCCGCGGGGGAAGGGCTCCCCCCCGCAGGTCGCTCTCGCTGGTGGAGCGGATCGTCCACGGGCCGCTGACGTCTGTGTGGTGAGCCGGAAAAAAAAGAAAGGGGGCGCGGCAGGAGCTCTCAAGACTCACGCAACGCCTGCCGGGCCCAAGTCTGGTGCTCCTCCCCTCACGTGCCTCGGGCCCTGATTTGCGACCCCCCCCTTTTGGACGCTGCCCCTCTTGAACGCCCCGCCTCCCCCGCCCCCGTGCTGCTTCTCGCCCCTCGTTTTGGGCAGTGGAGGGGCGCGCACCCCTGCTCGTGAGGAGCTCCCGGACGCCAGCGGTGCGCGCGCGCGGCCTGGAGTCTCCGACGCGGGGCTCCGGCTGCCGCTGCGCTGTCTCGCACGCGTCGATCGCAGCGACGCTGTGATTGACGCGTGGCAGCGACAGCGCCGCGACAGCGCTGTCGTTGACGACATCGGCCCCACTTTTCCGACGAGGGCGCGCGGGGCCCTGTCGTGTTGCACCCTGTCCATGTTCCGCGGTCTCCTCTCTGCTGCCCCCTGATGCTGCCGCAGCCGTGCAGTACGGTCGCCACAGTCTGGTGTCGGTTCCGCACTTCGGGTGTTGCTAGAAGTGCCCCTGGCTCAAGGTGCCCCCAGGATTTCCAAGGAGGCCCCCACGGCCTCCAGAGCACCCTTCACGAGGCCCAGATGGCCCGAGAGGCTGCAAAATAAAGCGAAAAGCTGGGGGTGCCTGGGGTCAGGGACACTTTTAGTAGCCCCCGAGCAGTTGCCGGCGATCGGCACGCTCACGAAAGCCAGTAACTCTGTGGTGTTTGTGTGGCCACGCCGGTTGGCGAGGGATCTCAAGCAGGCGTGGCGCATAAGTCAGTTTACGCATTACCGATGCAGACGCCTCGGAGTTCCCATTCCAACTTGGGCATTCGTGGCTGCATAGTCGGCGCATTGAATCGGAAGTTTAGTCGACAGCTGGTGCTCCCAGGATGTTTTTCATTCCCCCACGGCCTTAGGGACCTCGATGGCTATCTGGGTGCCTTACTGGGTTGAAGATCGCCGAAACATGTGTCGCTATCTTTCTTCTGGCGTGCTTGCTTACCGTTTGAATATGCTGTAAAGCTCTGACTTCCTCACGCTCCATAAAGTATTCGGAGAAGAACAACAAGGGGAGGGAGAAGGGTTGGGGTGAAGACGGAGGAGGGATGAGGCGGGGGGCAAGGATAGACGGAGGTCAGTGAAGATAATAATGATGAGCAGGAGGCGGGAGAGGATGCGGATGGAGTGGGAGCGGGCAGTGACAAGGGAAAGCGACAGGATCAAGAGGAGGCGAAGGATGCCCACAGCTTGCGAGAATAAGCCCTGCCAGATGCCGAAGTGTGTCGCCGTGCCAGGATGGATGCGAACAAAGGATTCCAGGGAGGACCCTTCCCTTCCGAATTCGAGGAGCATCTCATGAACATTGACTAAACAAACGAATGTAACATGGTCGCACAGCGTAAACATGAGCGCAACAAGAAGCTGTACGGATCATAACACACCTTACAAGTCATGCGCAGATATCGTGTCATGATGAATTCGTTCTGAACATGCAATTGCTTTTTTTGCAGTACCAGTACACGAGCATGTGAGCATTGACAGCGCTTGCACATACAAACCAAGCGGCATCGAACGCACGAGAGCCTACAAGGAGAGTACGCTGATAGCGACCGTCACAGAAACACCAGCACAGATCATGGGTCCATGCTGACTTTGGAAGGACATATTAACCACCTTCACATCAAACCACCTATTGGGACTTACAGGGGGCAGAGTATGATATTGCCACGTACATGAGCATACCATCACCTTTACACTTCCTCGTCATATTGCAAGGTTGCCATTGAAACTAGGACTAATTGTAACAATATATTGGGGCCAGCCCGTAACACCATATGTCACAAGCCGTCCTTGGTAATAAGGTGTCGATCCTGCCCCGCCGCAGCCTCGCATTCTTCCCCCTTCCCAGCGGCGCAACAGATATCAGAACATTTTCGTTCAGGGGGGGGGGGGACAAGTTGCTATCGCGAATGAGGGTTCACGATGCGGGGGGGAGGAATCGGATGCGGCAATGGGTCAGGAAACAAAAAGGTTAATGAGAAGGCCGGGGAGTAGGAACTAGAGCATGATGAAATATGAGGTCGAGCAAGGCGACGACAAGACACATAGGAGCCACTGCAGGATAAAGCAGGAAGACCAGCCACCAGTTAAAAGCTCTCCGACAGCTTCGTATCGGAGCCGAGGAGTTTAAGAAGTATGGGCACAGTGAAGAAAAGCAGCACCGGCAGCAGCAGGGGAGCGAATTTGGGGATGAGGAAGGGGGGGGGGAATGGGCAGGAGCAGAATGAGGAATAAGAGAAGACGCAGGATAATGGTAGGCCGACATCGAGCGATGTTCGTTATCGGAATATTGCTGCCTTTCACGGCTCAACAATCCGCGCGGTGCCAGAAACAACACGAAATTCTAGCCGTAATCGCGCGTCGCGTCTCTTGCAGGACGCGCTGGGACCACAGTGGAGTTATCTCTACAGACTGACTGTGGGGGAAAGTTGATTTAGTCATCCAACCGTGCCCATTTTTGACCCACCGCTTCGACGTAGCTGTTGTGGGCTGGTGCAAGTAGGAAGAGCGCGGCCCGCCCGCCCGGCTCGCGCGCCCTCCCGGGTGCCCTCCCCCGGCCGGCCGGCCTCGTCATATTTTATCGTTTCGCTCATTCTGCCGGCCCTGGAGCGCTATTTGGGGCCTCTTGGGGCCGTCTCGGGGGCCTCTTGGGGGCTTCTTGGGGGCGTCTTGGGGCTCCTTGGCGGCGTCTTGGGCTCCCCTGGGGCCTCTTATGGGACTCTTGGGGGCCCTTGGGGCGGGAGAGGGGGTAGTCGATTGCAGCCACCCCCTCGGAGGCCACGAACTACACCTAGCCAGCGGGGCGGGGTGCATGTCGGGTGCCGCCACTCGCGCTCCCAACGTGTACCGCGCCTCGGCCGCTAAGTGCCGTTCTGTACGTGTCCCCTTTTCATGAAGCATCTGCTGCCCGCGCTGCCCATCGCCGAGGCCCCGTCCCCTGGGCCGCTTCCCACCGACATCCCACATCCCCTGGCTTGCCTGGGGGCCTTGATTTCACGCAGCCCGCTTCCCTCCCCTGCTTGTGCCCCAGCAGCAAATCCGCGATCCGATCCCCCGCGCTTTTCTTCGCGCCTGATTCCCCGTCCGAGGGAAACGCTTGTTCGCGTTATGGTTTATCTTGCGGCTGCCGCCAAGCCTCGCCGTGAAACATGGTGATTGCTTCCACGCTTGGCACGCAACGTCGTCGGCACGACCATCGTCTTCCATCGTGGGTCGCGAGGCGGTGTCCGTCCACCCAGACCGACCGACGCGCCAAATCTAATTATGATTGCCACCCCTGTCCCCACTACAAGGTGCAGTTTAGCTGTGTGTAGTTGCAGACGTGTTCGGATACTGCTATCCACAGTAACATCACGACCATTTTCGCCTGGTCACCCGCGTCGCCAGACGACGAAGTGTCGCATAACCCCATGCAATCTCGACCATGTGAGGCTATTGGCTCGGGGGGATCAAGTGCTGTCACGTGGGCAACAACAGAATGGTGGCCATCTATCAGCAGGAGGGTGATGAGTGAGGATGCCTATGCCATACTGAACCCCTTCGATTGGGAATGCACCCATCCGGCTGAGCGTTACCAAAGGGAACCAAGCTGTGGATGGTCTGCATGGTGCGTGGCGGCTCCAGGAACGAAGGACATTGAGCCGCGCGCCAGTTTGAAGGCTGCCATGGCGGCGGAGATTCAGGACATGTGGCCGCGAGCCGAGTTCCGGAAAGCCCCATATGCCTCAGGCGCGGGCTACGCGCGTGGGCGATCCAGCCCACTGTGTCGGGGCTGCGGCGCCGTCTCGCGCGCGACCTGCCAGCGGCGCCATGCGGCTGCGCTCCGCGAAGCCTGAGGGCCGCTCTACGGCAGTAAAGACGGGGGACGACGTAGCGGGCAAGGGAGAAGACAACGACAGCATTGGCAAGGGCTCCGAGAGGCCAAGCAGCCGAGCGCCAGATGGCCAAGAGGAGTCCAGGCGGCGCCGAGCTGAGAACCCTACACAGTGGGACGCGCCCCACAGTTCGGGAGCAGCCCCCTCGAGTTGAATGCCAACTGCGCGGCCTTCTGCCGCCCGTGACTTTCGATGTCAGGACGCCCCGTGGCGCGCTGAGGTCGACGCCGCGCGGCGCAGGGCAGATGCGGGCAGGTCATATTGCCCATGGCGCGCGTGCGACGACACGGAGCCGCCGCCCACGGAATCCTCCACCCCGTGGCAGGGAGACGCCGTGACTTGGTGGTCATCGTGTGTATAGAGTTCGGACAGCTGGTACAATGGCGGCTGGGGCGCACGCGATCACAGGTGAGGGCGCGAGGAAGAGAACGAGGGGGGACGGTTGTTCCTTATGCCGATTGTTCCCCTTTCGAGACTCATGGTTGCGGCTTGGCAATGTCCATAAGGGATAGTTTGAGTCGCCGTGGCAAAAAGGCGCCGTGCACCCGCGTCTGTTGCACGGCGAGTTAGACAGTCGGGGAACTGTCTGCCGGGCGCCGCGTGCCCAGACGTTTGTATGAAAATTCGGTGCGATGCCTATATAAGTTTCGCCCGCCCGCGCGAGCGAAGCTCGCCGGGCCAGTCGCGGGGGGGATTGATTTAGTCATGCGCCCGTGCCCCCTGCTGGCCCACAGCTTCGACGCTGCTTTTGTGGGCTGGTTCAAATTTAAGGAGCGCGGCCCGCCCGCCCGGCGCGCGCGCCCTCCCGGGCGCCTTCCCCCAGCCGGTTAACCTCCTCACATATCGTTGCCAGCCCCAGCTTAACGTGCACTACCATACCCAGTCAGCCATGGCGGTGAGAGACACATCACCTGCATTGAAGATAAGCATGATCAAAAGATTACTACATGATGAAGACGAGGGAGAACAATTACGATCTGACCCTGGTCACATGTTGTTGCTTATCAACATGGCGTTATCAACAACCCATAACATCAATGAGTTGGCAAAATACTGGGATTTGTTCCCGTTGAGACGGTCGATGTTGCTGACCTCTGCGGGCGTGCGTACGTTGTCAAATTGGATTATGGCGAATGGAATCCAACATATTCCCATGATCAAGAAAGGGGGTTGTCGACTGTAGTCGTGACGTGTCTTGCCACCTCGTCGAGCGGCAACATTTACCATAGTTGGCCAATCAGTTTTCCTTGTCCCCTGCGGCGGTTCGTGTATAGCGGGGTACAGCAGCCCAATATCTGCGATTCGGGGGGGGGTCATTATTGCTGGTTTGAGTTAGCGGGACTTCGACAGAACGGATTCGTACATATTCGTGTATCTCCACTAGCCCATCCAGGAACGACGCCGACGGGAGTTGGCCTGATAAGAGGAGCGTAGCATCAGTTGGAAACTTCGGGCGACCCAAATGAAATAGAGGGTTCCTGGATGCCTTTCCGAACCGTTTGGGATGTCTCGTGGGGGGCTTTTGGTGTCCTTATAGGACATGTTGGGGGCCATTGGGGGCGTCTTCGCGCCCTTTTGGCGGCTTTTTTGGGGTTTCTTCGGGACCCTATTGGGTGCTTTGGTGGGGCCATATGGGAGGCCCTTGAGGCCTTCTTGGGGCCATTTTGGATGACGCCGATCAAAACTGGAGGGGTGTCCTCAGTTCCGGAGGCTTGCCTTAGCCCAAAACCTGCGGAACTGTTTGTTGTTGTTTTCTTGTTTTCTGGATGTCCGTTCCAATTGGTCGCGGCAACCCGCGTTCATACCCAGGGCGAGGGCGTATGAGGAGGAAACAAGCTACCCACAAGCCGCCATCCTAGTCGTTCACTTCCAACAACCCTCCTAGCATATAAAGAGCTCCCGAATCCCAGCATGGACAGGGACTTCCATCGACAACCATCAGGAACCAATGCGGATGCCAGCCACGTGCGCGAAGTGCGCCGCGCGTGCCAGGGCACAACCACAACCCCTGCCAAATCTGAATGCAGCATGTTAAAATATGTTGCCACAGCTTGCGCCTTTCACTGGCTTATGACAGGTATGGTGGGCTTGTTCCTGTGGGGCAATCTTTCGGTCCCCCCTTCGACCCTGTCAACAAGTATCGTGAAGTGATCGCGGCGCGCCCGAAGATGATGCAGATTTGCCTCGCAGTGCATGTCATGTTGCTTTGTTGACGGGGACGGCGGGAGGGTGGTGCCATTTTTTGTTGTTTCTTTCCTGTCAGATGGGGCAGGGGATACTTCTCCATCACCGGCATAGTCAAACTCCTCTCCAGAGGGGAAGAAAAGGGGTTGGAAGAAGAAGCGCTCTAAGTCACTCACGCCCTGAAGGGCTTAAGGAGATCTTGCCGCCGTTCCTTATCGAAGTACGCACGCATCGCCCAACGCCTCGAACGTTCCGTCGCGATGATACAGCGCGCGGCGAGGAGCTGGAGCAGAGGATACTCGACGACCGGGATGCCCACAGGGACACGGTGGACGAGGCCGCACCGTATTTCCGAGTCGGGGATTGTCAACATGACCACCGCCTGGAGGATCGGCCTTCGGGGGACCTCTGCAGGCCGTGGTCATGGACATGTTCGGGCCTTGTGGGGCCCAAGTTTGTACATAAACGTATACATGCATACACTTAATATTCTTATGTTTTGCCCCTGGGGTCCCACCGCGCTGGGGGGAGCTGTTTGAGAGGGTTGGGGGAGGGACTGGGGGAGGGGGAATGGTTGGAGGACCCCATTTGTTGATCGTGCGGAAGCGCAAAATGCGAACCATTTGGATCACAACATGTGGACTCGTGCAGGGCGCGATTCACCCAGAGATGTCATCTGCTGTTGCACAGCAGGCGAAGGTGATGGAAATCACGCTAGTGTGCCTACAGCCTCGAACGCTTTTGCAGTGCGGTGAAGGATGTGCCGTCCTGTCCTCCACCATCCTCCTTTTTGTTTGATGGCAGTCGGTCGACAGAGCAGACAGGGGGCAGGGCAAGGACATAAATCCCCACCCCACCACCACTGGTAGAGGGATGGTACGTACGGTGTGACACATACCCCCATCCCACCGCCGCCCAACAGTGCGTTTCTTGCGTCGTGCTTCGTTTGGAAGGTTAAGGAGGCACGGACCTGGAACACGGCAAGTAGATAGTGGACGTATGTGGGGCACGGTGCTCTCGGCGGGGGGGGGCAGGGGGGGGCAGATGCCAGTGCGCAGGAAGCGAAGCTAGTAGGAAACACACGCATGCAGGGGGCCGACGTCCTCCCTCTGCTGCGCAGCGCGTTGGAGAATGTGTGTCCGTTTCCTGTTCGATGCCGCGCCTTGGCTTTTGGGAGTCGGTCGACGGCCTGGGCATCGGGCGCTGGTAGGCGGCTCTGGCACACGAGAAACTGGAGCATCCAGCAGGCAGGCCACCCCATCTAACGTGTCTGAGGGTTCTGATTCTCTGAGCTTCGGTTGACCTGGTCGGACCCGCTACGGGCTTGGTTTGCCCTGCTCCCTCTCCGTCGCCCTCCTCATCCCCACCTCCCCCTCGACCTTCTGTATCTCCCATGCCATGCGTCTCCTTGGCGCCTCCTCCAGGTCGCGCATAGTCCCTTGGTAGTGATGAGCGTTTGACTCCTCATATTCTGTCTCCACGTTCTGCTCTTCCATTGATGTCCCATCAGCCAGCTATCCGGATTGCCTTTGCGTAATTATCATACCGTTATCACTATGAGTTTTGCTGAGGTCCGCAGATCCATGCAGGAGGAGCTTAAGCTGGCAGCCCGCGCGTTCACGCATGTACGTGAAGGAGGATGGGAATGAAGTGGATGAGTAAGGATGAGGCGGGTTGGACAGGAGGAGAGGGTGGATGGAGCAAGAGCAGGGGGTGGAGAAGGCTAGCATATTGGGCAGAGTGACGTTTTGAAGCGAAAGAGAAGAAGGAGACGGGGTAGGATGTGGCAGATGGAGCGGGAGTCCGACAGGGAGATGCTAATACGTGTTGGGAAGGATTGGCCGCTCGTCGATTGTTGGTGCGCGCCGTTGCCCACAGAAATGCGTGACATGTGGCAGTGAGCAGTTCTTCCCTCCGAGCGCTACGGTGCTCTTTTGATCTCGCACAAGCTTCTTCAGCTTCGCGGATTCAATACATTGGAATATGGTTGGGTTCGGCAGCGGACAATACGAGGCCCCCCCCTTCTCCTGCCCAGTGCATCATTGCCGTTGTGCTTGGGCCTGAGGGACTTCACACCTCCGCGCGTATACATCTCCGCGCTCAGCGCTGCCCCACGAAGTCGGTGAATCTGCCAACCCTGCGGTTGCTCCTCCCCGTCGCCTCGTCCACTCTTTCTCCCTCCCCCTCCTCGACGATTTGTCGACCCCAAGCCCCGAGCTCCGACCGAAAGAAATTAAGCCGCTCGCAGACTGGTGGGGAATCGGTGATACACCCCTGGAGGCTATTCGGACGCACCTCTACCGATGATTGACGCCCCCTGTCGTACATCCCACAGTTTGGCATACACTTTCTTGCCCGTTCGAAGACCCCACATAGTTGGGGATCGGAGTCACCATTGGCCCCTCCCGAGTGTCCCCCTCCCCCCCGCAGGCATCTGAGCGGCTCGGCGCCGTGGAGGCTCGGGCGTCCGCGGCGCAGGGCGCTCCGTGGCCGGGAAGCTGGGGAGGGGGGGGGGGGCGGGGGGCGACCAGGTGGTGGAGGGGAGGGAGGGGCGAATCAGGGGTAGAAGAAGCGCGGGAAGGAGGGATGGGGAGGTGAGGGAGGGGATGGTGAATGAGGAGGGAAACGCGAAGTGGGGTCGGGGAGAGGGATGAAAGGGAGGAGGCCAGGGGAGGAGGGAGGGTGAGGTTGCGGAGGTGAAGCACCAGTTTATTCCCAAGGAACACCAGCGATGCTGCACCAAACCCTCCCCGCAAGTCTGCTCACTCGTCATGGGCCGCTGCAAGGAGTCATTTTCGTTGCGGGGAGGGCCCCGTTGGAAGACCACTGCCGGGGAGTCCTTAATTTTGCCAGGGTTTCGTTCTTGGGACTTCAGTAGCGAATGGACGTAATTGTTGTGTCCTGACCATCTTAAGCGTTCCGGACACCATTCCTTGGTTTTCAGCGCCGCGAATCGACGTCATTGTTGTGTCCTGACGTCCCTAGATCGTGACGAATGTGCGCAGCGCTAGAGCGAGAGCCACACTTTGAACAGGAGCCGCCCTCTACCCTTGAAACTTTTGCGAAGTTTTAGGGCGACAAATATGCGCGGAGCTAAGGCCAGAACCACATTTTGAAACAGAGCTTATCTTCATCCATGAAGTTGTGGCAAATGTTCCACACGAATGCCCGAGGCGCTAAAGCGAGAGCCACATTTGGAAACCATTCGCCTTCTATCATTCAAGCTGTTGCAAATTTATCACGAACGCACGCGGCGCTACAGCGACAGCCACATGTTGAACACGGCCCGCCGTCCATCCGTGGAGCCGTTGTAAATTTCGGCTTCAGGATCACAAAAGGTGAGGAGATATGAAGCCACACGCGTTGCCCGCCCGGCCGACACGCTTGGAGGCGCGACAGGGAGAAGTTATTTAGACGGAAAAAGACGGAGGAGTTTGAGGGTCATGGGGGAGAGGGGGAAAGGGGCGGGCGATAAGGGGGGGGGCAGGACGAGAGGGAGAAAGGAAAGGAGGAGGAGGAGGGGAGGGAGGGGGGCGGGGGAGGAAGAGAACGAGTAGGAGGAAACAGCGGAGAGGCGCGAAAGACACAACAGACAACCATGCGGCCTTCGCCCCTTGGGCCTTTGGGTACTATTGGGCAGCATTTGGGCCTCTGTTGGGTGCCCTGGGGGGGGGGGAGGGGGGGCCTGGGGGCCATCTTGAAGAACATCGATCAAGATTGGGGGTGTCGTCAATAAGAGTCGCCCCGGCGGAACCAGACACGTAGCTTGGGGAGGCTTTCTTGAGACATTCTTCGTGCGCTCTTGGGCGTCTTCGGGGCCCTCTTGAAGCCCTACCCATGTTGCGGGTCTCTTGAATGATCTTGCGACCAAGTGTGAGAAATCCAAATTGATGAGAAACGCTTGAGGACTTTATACGATGTTGGCCTCTCGAGGCATCCTTGGAAGGATCCGACGCCCTTGGTATTACCGTGGAGCCGCATAGTAGCCTCTTGGAAGCATATTGGTCGCCATGCAGGTTCAATGTGTTTCCCGTCGTGCACCGTGTTGGAGGCAATTTCGGCATGGAAAGATATTGGAGCCATTTTGGATGCTCTGACCGCTCGCCTCCCTTCCCCCCTACACCTAAGTGGGGGTGGGCATACGAAGAGGAAGGCATTTGAGGAGGGGGGCTAAACCAACCCACGCCTGGAAGGCGGATGAAATTCAACGGAATGATCTGACGACAGCGGGAATATTGAGTTTCAAACACGTCCCGAGCGAGAGCACGAGAAGGAAACACTGAAGATATCTCAGGCAGGAGCCTCCTGTTGTGGCCAGGCAACGCAGTTTGAGTCAGGAGACGTTCCCCAGCAAACACATGCAGTGCGAGAGCCAAGCGGGGCATGGCAACATAACGTTAAACGTTGGTGGGGCATGGGCGCTGGTGGGGAGAGGTGGAGCAAGAGTAAGTTCGCGAGCCATGATTATTTCAACGTATCAGACGGTTCGTGTTGAATTGCTAACTTGTCCTTCGACGTGCATGCCCTGAGTTATCGATTCTAGCCCGCATTCGTCTACGCACCCCCATGTTGGGAACCTTTGCCCCGCCCGACAGGTTGGGGATGTTATTAGATTCCGAGAAACAGCCCGCTCTACAGCCTTGCCAATCGCGCCCACCAGTCCCCAGTTGCCCCGAACCTCCCGAGTTTCTGGTTTGCCCCTCTACCTTGCATACCGCGGCCGCTAGGGCCCAACATCCCGATGCCACGGCCCGCTGGGCCCCGAACATTGAAGCCGTAGAAGCCTTCCACGATAGACGCAGTCCCAGGACAGACGCCAAACTCAGGAACCACTACCAGGCAGCAGGAAACGACTCCAGAGAACACATCAAGACTAGACATCGACCGCATACACCAAGAGTATACATCAAGGGCATGCACCAAGGACATTCATCAATGGCAATCATCATTACCATACATCGGAGTCCATTCAGCACGTGCACCACATCCGCGAATCCAGAACACACACACCTAGACTTGGCGTCCACAGCGGACGTCACTAACACTCACCAGTAACATGCACCAGGGACATGCTTCATTGGACAACCGTAATCGTGTGACATACATACACGGGCATACATCCATCATTGGCGTGAGCACCTCGCGGCCACACGTGCCGCACATACTCGAGTTCAACACGCACCCACGCATGATTTGTTATAACGAACGATCGCGCGAAGTAGGATGGTAAGGCGTCTAAACATTCAACGCATCGCACGAATACCAGTCGCATGTTTTGTATAGACCATCACACTCTAGAGTCACACAGACACATACTTTGTCCCACCCCTTCTGTGTTGGGTTCTCGTTTCGATTAGAGTACTGAGGTCTCCCCCTCCTTTCCTCTCCTCTCCCTCCTGCCTCCTGCTGCGCTGCTCCCTGGGGGGCTGCGAACTGTACAACCGTCACCACTTTTGTGGGCTCCTGGGAGGCACGGCGGAGTGGGGGTAATACGCGGACTCGGCAGGGGAGCTCGCTGCTCCTTGGGGGGGCTGCGGACTGCGCATTTGTCGCCACTTTCGTGGGCTCTTGGGAGGCGCGGCGGAGTAGGGGAGTACGCGGACCAAGGCGGGACCTCTCGGCTCTTTGGGGGCTTGCGAACTGCGCAATTTTTGTTTTTTTCGTGGGCCCCTGGGAGGCACGGCGGAGTAGGGGAGTGCGCGGGCCCAGGCGGGACCTCCCGGCTCTTTGGGAGGCTACGAAGTGCGCAATTGTCGCCACTTTCGTGCGCTCCTGGGAGGCACGGCGGAGATGACGGCAGCGCAGATCGTACATATCTGGCGATGTGAGCGTTCATGCAAACATTCGCCTCGCGTGGATGAGGGGTTCGGCACGTCTCGGGTAATGTATAGTTCATCGCATTCTAGAGTAACTCAGAATAGATCGCAGCATATTGCTGGTGAGGGTTTATGTAAGGCCACTCGTTGGTTCAACTCCGGAGAGGTAAGTCAGGCAGGTCGGGCGGGTGGGCCAGAACGGGCTGGTCTGGTGGGTGGCCCCGAGCGGGAAGGCCGTCTGGGCTGGACATATACAGCAGGCTGGCGGCTTATCACGCTTGTGAACGGGAGGACCCTAACGGGCTCGTCGGGATTGCGTGACATATCGCGAGGGCAGACCCTAAAGGTCGGGTCGGGCGGGTGGGTTCTAACATCAGGGGCGGCCTAACCAACCCCTAGCAAACCATCCCCTTCCGTACCGTCCCCCTCGCATCGCACCAATACGTATGTACGTGGCCAGAGGGAAGCTTGAAGGGCGCTTATGACGTCACGTCAGGGGATGGTTGGTAGGGGTCGGTTAGGCCGCGCTCGTTAACAGATGGGTCGGGCGGGTGTACCCTGACGTGCTGGCCAGGCCGACGGACTCTTACATGCTGGTCGAATAGGCGGGACATGAAAGCGCGTTTCCTCAGCAAGTTGTCAGGACTTCCCAGGCTAGGCAGATGTCTCAGTGAAGTGAGGGGAAGTGTTGGGTGACAGCAGATCTTCGCTTGTCGACAGCGAGGCGCGTTAGTTATGTGCGAGGAAGTCCTGCGCGAGAGCGCGACTTCCGAACAATGAAAGCGCGTCGCCTGAGTAAATTGCCGAAGCGGGTTGTGGCCGAGATCGCGAATCATGAGTTCACCGCAGTTTGCAAGGAGTCGAGCCAGAGCGCGTTTCCTGAGCAAATTGCAGCACGGAGCTGAACCAGAGCGCGTTCTCTGACCAAAATGCGAAGAATTGTTAAGCTAGACTCCTCGGTCTTGTTGTATGTAACCCACGGTCCCGCCATCACGGTTATGTTGCCCCCCCCCAGGCATGTAGGGTACGAGAGGTTTGGTGCGCATTACAGTCAGGTCAATTTCAAGGACACGTGTCGGAGGTTCATTGACGACGTTTGTTTTGCATATTTGGCAGTTCAGCAATCGTGCCAATAGTTCATACGGCTTTCCTTTTTTTTTGCTCGTGCATTGCTGAACATGTATACCCCAATCCATCGTTGTCCGGCTTCCTTCGTCTGTGAACGTATCCCACGTGGGGGACAATTTTCAAATTCGAATTTCATGTGTATTACCTGACAGAGTAAGACGAGGGGATCGGGCGGGCGGACACTAACGCGCGGGTCGTCCGGGCGAGATGTTCAAGTCGACTGGATTTTAAGACATCATGCTAGCGGACCTGAACGGGCAGGTCGGGTTGCTGTGAGTCAGGCTGGTGGACCCTCTTTGACGAGTTGTGTTGGCGGACTCTGAAACGTGGAACGGAGGCGCAGTCCTTGACGGGCGTGTCGGACGGGCGGACATTAGAGCAGGCGGAAGGCGAGGAAGCCAGGAGTTCCAAAGTAAGAGCACAATCCCTGAGTTATTTGTGAGGTTGTTCCAGGCGAGAGCGCGTTTCGTGGTCCCAGGTGAGATCGCTATTCCTGAAAGGCGAGGGCGAGATTGCTGTGTAAATTTGAGAAGTTCCAGGCGAGAGCGTGATTGCTGAGTGAGTTGCATGGAAGTCTAAAGCGAGAGTGCGGTTTCTACATGCACTGCAGTAATAAAATACCAGGCGGAAGATATTATTGTTGTAGCTGGGGGGCCAGGCGCGCACTTCCCCTTACGAACATGTCGTTGTAGATGGTCCCCTCTTCCCGCTGCCTGTGTCCTCCTGGGCTGTCGAGCTGGGCAACGTGCCGGAGGGTCACTGCTTTGCCATCAGGGCGTGTCGAGCATCATCAGGCTCCATGCGGTGCCACATGTTCCACCGTAATGTCGATGTCTAGTCCAGTCACAGCCCGTTTAGAAGTATCACCGGTGGAATGGCCTCCTGCCCTTGTGTGGGGCGCTCTCCCGTGTGTGCGGATTGCAGGGGCAAAGCATTAGTCTTGGCCCCCCCTCCGCTAGTCCTGCATTCACGGTTCGCACGATCAATCATGTGGTTTCGAAGCAAGTCGTCACGGCCATTTTGTTTTTTCCTCTCTGATCGCCGCTCCTCAATTTCTGTTTCTCTCTCTCTCTCTCTCGTTTTCTGTCCTCTTCTCTCCCCCTCACCTGTCTCTTGCTCTGTACGTTTACCTCTCTCTCTCTCACTCTCTCTCTCTCTCTCGCTTGGCTATCCTTTCTGTCTTCGGCCCACTGCGCCCCCCCTAACCGCACGCCTCCGTATCAACAAGAGGCAGAGCTGACGACAGCCAGGCAGCGGTGCGAGCACCTGATGCGCAACAAGGCGCCCGCCGTCGCCCGAGCTCCCGACGGGGGCTCCCAACACCGGGGGGGGGGGCTGGCACGCCATGCTTCCCTGCTCGTTAGGCGCGCAGGGTCGCTTTCGAGAGCCCGTCGGAGCCTCGCCACCCCGCTCTCCCATCCCCCCCACAGGACCTCGCCGAGGGCCAAGCAGCCCCGCCGAGCGGTAGATGTGCGAGTCACCTCGCCGAGCAGTGCGGGCGCTTGTTGCTGCTGCGCGTCCTCGCTGGCGTTGAGACAGCTGGGGGACCACCGGGCTGCGGCGCCCCGCCGAGCAGTGGCCTGCCGATGCGTGGGCCTGGCGCGGACGAAGCCGCAGCCGTTGCCAGCCTCGCGGTGTGACGTCCAGGATCGGTACGGCCGAAATGGTCACAGAAAGAGTGGGCGTGCAATGTTGAATTGGATTTCTTGTCGGGATCGTCCCGGACATTGTCCGGTTGAGACAGAGTTGCTTGCTCAACAGCGGCCGCTGTCGGATTTGGACAGCATTCGCTGTTGGGCATTGTATCGTTTTTTCCTGTCCCATCTCGAGCGTGCAAACATGATAGCAGAATAATGCCTTGATATTGGGGGTGCGCAACTCAAGGGGTGATTGGGGGGGTCTGCTGCAGCCGGACACAGTCTTCCTTCGGCGTTTGTGTTCAAGATGAGTATTCCCGCCTCTCAGAAGGGTGCGGGGCGTTGGTATTTGAGGGGCCGAACCGCTGTAAGAAGACCCCTGCTATCTTTACAGACCAGCACCTTCGCCTCTTCCTTCTTGCGTCTATTCGGAGAGTGGCATTTGCGATATCATCATCCGCTGTTCGCAAGTAAGCTGTGCGACGGCCCAGCCTCAAGTACCTCCGCCTGGCGCAGCTTGCTCGCTGCTCCTACCAACCTCCCGTCGTGGTCAGATTCGATTCTTGTGAAGAGGAGCAAGAGAAGAACGATGCTGGTTATTCATCCTCAAAGTAGTTCCCTAAGTTTGGTTTCCATCATAGTGGCTGATCTGCTTGTGAAGGAAGCCCGTGGATGCGCTGTGTTAATTTCAGATGTGGCGCCCTAAGTTTTCAAATTGTCCAGTTTCCCGGTTGCCCAGTTGCCTGGCGTTCCCGGTGTTGCCCGAGCTTGCTTGATCCAAATTGTCAAGGTTGCGTGGTTCCCATCTGTCTCCCATATGCCAAATATTGCTAAGCAGGGCCAAGCAGTTCAAAGCAAAGCCACATCCCAGCAATGTCAAGCAATGCCCAGCAACGACAAGCAATGCCAATCATGCTATGTCACCGACTAAGCTTTGCCCTACTTCGGGTAGTGCTGTGTTCATAATACGGTGTCTGCAGAAGATGTCCAGCAAGTCGTCAAGGTTTGGGAACAGTTGCGCGCCAGGAATTGGAGGATCAGGCATGGTGATCTCGGTGGAAAGGCCAGAATACGCACGCGGAAGTGATGCTACCTTGCTCACTCCGCATGGCGTTCTATTACTTGCCGGCGTTACGGGATTAGTTTAGTATATGTATGTTTGGTTGTGTGGCGACGATGGTTTGGAAGGTCCGACAGGCTTTGTTGATGTTGTTGTGAGTAGTGCGAGGTAATGCTGGTGGATGCAGTGCGGACTCGATATTTCCTGGCGTTGGAGTTGCTGTTTCGTCTCGATCTGGTGTTTCCTGGTTGGTGGGGCCGCGGGATTGCCTCGTCAAGGGACGACTTGTCATGGTGGCGTCAGTGCAGCCACTAGCTTGTAGGTCCTGATGGTCGCGCTGTGGCGCCTGCTCCCTAGGAGTGAGGACATTGGCAACGCGTGTGCGATACGGGGTGTCAAGCCGAGGCCAGTCCACTTGTTAATATCCATGGATCTGTCAGGCGAGATTTCCATCATTCTTTGGTAGCGAGTGTGCTCGTTTGCATTTGCATGCAGACGATTGCAATACAGCTCTCCTTCGGTGAGAGATCGACGGAGGCATGAGAGGTAGAGAGATTTCCGTGGTCTCCAAAGGACTCAGATATACCTTGCCGGTGTGGACGAAGCCCTTCATTCGCCCTCATGCCCACGATTTGAAGCTTGTTCGACCAAACACACATCGACCTGGCCCTTGCGTTAGCTTGGCGCAGCTCGGAGGGAGAGGGTTGCCTTGCTGTCTTCACATGTCCTCTCAAGCATGTCACTGTTCCGCGCCTTGGATACGGACCACTGGCAGCGCAGAAACGAAGGCAAGGATACCCAACACGTGCTCGTGAACATGCGCTGGACATGCTTGGGAGACTCTGGGCAGGTGCTGCGAAACGCGCCCATAGTTGCCCAGAGCAAATCATAATGGCAACCTTGTTCTGCTCATCCCGCCGTCCAGGGTGCAGTCAAGACGCTGAGTTACGGACGACGTTGTGATCAGGAGGGGCTCTGGTTTTCGGGCCGTTCCGTATATCGAGGTCGGGGAACATATTCGGGGCCGAGGCTCGCCGTGGCCAGAAAGCCCCTTCAGCGTTCAGCTCACACCTTCTCTAGGGCAGCTAACTCGTGTGCTCGTTCTCCTCATCCCACTGGGTTTTTCGGGGGTGCGAGTAGGGGGAGAGGGCAGAAGGCAGTGGCATGGCAGCTATGCGTTTGTCGGGACAGGCCCCCCGCCAGCCGCATCCTGGCGGCCGCAGCCTCCAAGCTTCACTTGTTGCATCGCCCCCCCCTCCCGTCTGCGCGGGCACCTATGTGTCGAAGTCTAAGGTCGATAGTTGGCGAGACGTTGTCCGATCGGTGCACGAGCTGCAGTAAGTAGTATATTCGCCGACCGCGTCCAGATCAAATGCGGAATGCAGAAGGCGCGAGCGTTGGCGGGGTTGGGGTGCGCTCAGGTATAGTAGCGTGGCGGAGCGGGAGAAGCCGAGAGCCGTGGAGAGAGGGGGACATCGGTTGCGTTCCAGGCGGAGAGTCCCCCCAAGGTTGTTGGAAGTTCAGGGCATGCAGTTTGGACCTTATTGTGCCCCCGCAGGCAGACTTGCAGCAGGAGCTGGGCGATCATGCTGAGAGGCACAAGGGCTTGGAGGCGCGCAACCGCCTCGCGTATCCACGCCTCGGCGCATCACTGCTTCAAGTAGGCATTTGACAGTTATTGCTTTGTTCTCGGAAAGATCTGCGCGATGAGCGGTGCGGCCCGCGCCCTTCCTTCTGGACAGTGGGTTCCGGGGAGCATTATCGGGGGATCTGTAGGCGGCAGATTGAGAGTCCTGGGGCCGTCGTGGGGTGCCTTCAGGAGGTCGTGGGGCTTTCTCAGAACAGCGCTCTTTCTGGGGTGTAGCTTTGGCTGGTCTTATGCCGCCAGAGACCACTGGGGAATTACAATCGTGCGCGGGTCGTCCCTGGCGGCTTGACAAAACTTTCCAAGCGGGCCGATAGGCATCTTGATGCCGTTGGGGGGCCATCTCGGGCAACGTGTTGGTCCCAATTGTTGGCGCTTCGCGTATCCCTACCAGCTTTGCAGAGCATTTTGTTCAGAGCATGTGCAACTGCACGCTTGTTGTGCAGGTGCGATCCGGCCTGCCAACGTAGCGGTTGGGGTCGCCAATTCGCTTTGTGCCGCCCGCCCCGGACATTGCCTCTCGCCGCCAGACCGTTGTCGCGCGGCCGCAGACCAAACACATGTATCCCCACCAGCCCATCCAGAAACGATGCCCAGGGGAGTTGAGGTGATCAGGGAAGTGGATGAGCATGCAGAAGAACAAAGGGCGGGGAACGCCGTCCGATACCCCAAGAGAGGGAGGATGGTGTAGGAGAAGGAGGAGGAGGGCGATGAGGAGGAAGGAGGAAGAGGAGCATCTTTGCGAGCCCAGGGTCTGCTTCGAGCGTCCTGGGTGCCTCGGAGATCCTCTTGAGGCCTCTTGGGGGCCTCTTGGGGCTGTCTGGGCGCCTCTTGGGTTCCTTTTGGGCGCTCTTGGGAGCTTTAGGGGCACTCTTGGGGCCATCTTGGAGGACATCGATCAAAACAGAAGTGGTGTTCAATTTGGGTCCCCTCTCCGGAGCCCCAACAGTCGCCTCTTGGGCTCCTCTTGGGGCGCTGTTGGAGCGCTCTTTGGCGCGTTGGGGGCCGTCTTGGGTCTCTCTTGGATCTCTCTTGGAGCCCTCTTGGGCTCTCTTGGGGCCATCTTGAGGCCTCGGAATGCCATCGAGAGCGAAACGACGAGGAAGCAAACAACATTGACTGTCCTTAGGTTTATGAAGGATTTTGGCCTCTTGGCGGCCTCCTGGGGGCGTTCCGTGGCCACTCGGAGCCGCCTTGGAGCGGTCTTGGGGCCTTTTTGGAGCATCTTGGGAGCCATCTTGAGGCATCCTGGGATATCTTGAGCCATCTTGGAGCTCATCTTGGGCTCTCCGAGGCGCTCTTGGGGCCATCGTGGGACATCTTGGACGCTCCAACCCCTCGCGGGCCCCCCTGTCCAGGTCCAGGGGAGGGGGTAGGGTGAGGGGTCAAGCTGCCCCCTCCCCGCCCGCAAGCCGTCTCGCTCACTCCCACCCGCCCTCCCAACACATACGTAGCACCCGAATCTGGCCCGAGCCTCAGCATATTCAGCAGTCGCCTTGGGATGGGCAGCTACCGGGGGCCAATCCGCCGCCGCCACTGCCGCCGCCGCCGCCGCCGCCGCTGCCGCCGCCACCGCCGCCGCCGCCGCCGCCGCCGCCGCCCCCCGCTGCCAAACTGCCGCCGCCGCCGCAGCCGCTGCCGCCACCGCTACCGCCGCCGCAGCCGCCGCCGCCGCCGCCGCCTCAGCCGCCGCCGCCGCCGCCGCCACCCCCGCCGCCCCCGCCGCCACCACCGCCCCCCGCTGCCAAACCGCCGCCGCCACCGCAGCCGCTGCCGCTGCCGCCGCCGCCGCAGCCGCCGCAGCCGCCGCCGCCGCCAAGTGTACTCTGTATTGTTTTTTTGACAGGGATGGTGGGGGGGGCGCGTCGGGTTGGCTGCGCATGTACCGAACTTGATGGCAGAGTGTGTTTTGTATTGTTTTTTGTACAAGGGATGGGGGGGGCATGGACCCTGGTTGGCCTCCGGTCGCCTGGGGGAGGGGGTGTTTATTAATAGGGAACAGTGATAAACGCTTCCCCGAAGGAGAAGAGGGAGGGGTGGAAGAGGAGACGAGCTAGACCACCTACGCCCTCAAGGGCTGGTGGGATTACTTGTCCGCTGCTTGCGGCAAGTCCCGCTATCGCGGTGCAGCCCGGCATTGTGGGCGTCGACTACGTACTTGATGTAACGCGTGACACCTCTTGTCTCGATGGCCGTGAAATGTGACACGGTCTTCGGCGTCGTGTCGGGATGTCTCTCTTCCTGTTCGTGGTCGTCGCCGTCGTCGTCCTCCTCCTCTTCTGGTCCCATGGAGGAAATGAGCCCTTAGAGGGCGTCTTAGGATGCAGTACTAATCCGTGCTGCACCCCCCCCCAGCTGATGACCCCTTGCGGGGCGTTCCGCGGACAGCCTGGCGCCGTCATGGGCTGATGAATGCCCGAACGAGTGAGAACGCGACAGCCTGTCACAGCTCAAGCGGGAGTCTAAGGTTGTCACTGTTTTTCTCGGCCCTGCTGGGGGCCCCTTGAAGCCCCACAGGTCTGCGGCCTCGGATCTCCTCTTCTTTGAGACCGGCTTTGGGGGGCTCTTGGGTTGTCTTGGATATAGTCGGGGGTGGACAGAACCCCAACAGTGACACGTCGATTAGTGAATTGTCAGTTTTCGGTTTTCGAGAGGGCACCGTGGTCGTTATTTTCCAGGCTTGCGCCCGCCAGGTTTGGCCCCGAAGTCGTTTTCACTAAACCACGTTTTACTAAAGGGAGGTCTGTCCATCCCCGACATAGAGCCTCTGGCCGACGACTCGGCGGAGTCCCTGGATAGGGAAGACAGGGCTCCGTGCCAGCATGCGTACAAGGAGGGGCATGTCAGAGCCTACCATTTGCTGCAGGTGCGGTGAAGACCGCCGCAGGATGCACAGCGGGCAAGTCACCCAGAGCTCAGCGTGCACTCGCACGTGGACGAAGTTGCATAAACGAGACGCCTTCACCCTACCTAGAGAAGAGAAGGGCCGTCTCGGAGGCACATCGTCTTGGAAACCACTCTTGGACATCCTGAGAGCCGTGGAGCTGGGGCGGTGCACGTGGGTCAGTGTGATACGCGGGGGGGGGACTGAGAAAATCTACAGAAACCTACCAGACAGCACATTGCATTCTACCACGCTTCAACGTGACAGGGAATCGGTGGCGGATTAGAGGGCTTTCCAACTGCCCAAGGGAGGCCCAAAAGACGCCCAGGAGTGCCCACGAGCGCCCCAAGAAGACCCCAAGAGACCCCCAAGAGCGCTCCAGGAGCCACCCAGACAGCTCACAAGAACCCCAAGACGGCCCGAGAAGGGCCAAGAAGGCCCCAAGAGCCTCCCGGGAGCGCCCCAGGAGGCCCCCAAACGGCCCACGAAAGCCGCAAGACGGCCCAAGATGGCTCCGAGACGGCCTAAGAAAGCTCCCACAGAACCACACGACGCCCAGGCAACTCAAGAAGACCCCAGAAGCCCATAAGAGGACCCAAGGGGCCCCCAAGAAGCCCCCAACAGGCCCCAAGACACCCCGTGCGGCGCCAGGAGCAACGTCTTTCTCCAATTGCCTCTTACTGTCCTCTGTCGTCGTCGTTGTCGTCGTCGTCATCGCCCTCCGCATTCCTCCTCGTACTCGCCCTCGTTCTCTTCGTCCTCGTCCTTGTGCTTCTCTTCCTCCTCGTTGTCCTCATGCTCCTCCTCGCTATCCTCACGTTCGCTACTTCGCCCTCGTCATCGACTCCTCGTTGTCCTCGCCTTCCTTTTCTTCTTCGCCAAGTACGCACATTAGACTAAAGCGGCGCTTCCCGTTCTTGTCCGATCTGGTTTCTCCGCTGTCTATGTCGGAACTCTGGCGGGGACATGTTGGTTTGTCGGGTTTCTTAGGGCCGTCTTGGGCAGTTCTTGAGGCTGTCGCGGCGGAAATATGCGCATGATCTGACATACATTGGGTTGTGTTGGAACCGTCGATGCCAGTCTTCGGCGATTTGGGAGACGCCAGGAGTCCGTCTGGGAATGCCACCTTTCTTCTCGAGGCAGATTGGCCTCGTTTCCGAAAGCATCGGAGTTCCCGTGGCATCTTGCTGGTAGATTTGGTCCCTCTGGGGAGTTTGTTGTACAGTGCCGTTTTTAATACATGCTCCGCGTGCGGATCATGTATTGTAAATCCTATATGTTTAAACATCATATGTATTAAAACTTGCCCTGTAGGCCTTCGGGGGAGATTTGGATAAATATTCGGACTGCCTTGGGTTTGTGTGCATGTGTGTGCGCGCCCTGTGTGGGGTCTTGTGTCGGGGTTGAAGCTTTTTGTTGCGTTGTCCTGAAGACATTATGTGCCACTCTTGGGTGGGGTTTGGCCGACGTAGGGCCGTCCTAGAGCCATCGGCCGTCCAAGAAGAGGGGTACCCATACTAGTTAAGCCTCCCTGGGCGAGGGACTCCCTGAACAGGGGTCTCCAAGTAATCACTTCGCGGGAGCAATTCGCGCTCGAGTTTTTGCGTAGGATGCCGAGCTTGCTTGATATGAAGCTTGTTGTTGTGATCCTCTTGCGCGTAAAGCAGGCTACCCGGTTCGAAAAGCACATGGTCCGAGATTTAGTACCATCGACGGCTTGATTTCGATGTTTCTCCTCTCGGGACCTCCGCACCTCCGGAATCGAGAGCTCGATGGCTTCCGCCCACGAGCCAGAGCGGCAGCGTAATCAACGCGCATTCAGTCCTCTGAGCGACATTTTCTCCATTTCCTTATCGTCGCCTCTTTCTCTCCTCCTCTTTTGCGCTTTCATTATTATTCATGTAGTTTATCCTCGCCACTGTTGTTCTCCTTCTCTCGTCCTCTCTCCAGTGCTCCTTATCAGTCATTTTTCTATCCCATTTGTCCTTCCCCACTCCTTTTGCCTCTCCGTGCTCCTGCTTTGTCTCCTCCTCTCTGCGGCGCACGTCCGCAGAGCACCTGCACAATCGCCTCACTGAATTCGAAAGCAGGGCGAGACCGGCACACGAGGTATTTACCTGAAAGACAGCCAGGCGGCGAGGCCGGATAACCTGCGCATTTCGAAGTCTCCGGTTCGAAACCTCCAACTCGAGGCCTCCACCTCGAGGCGTTCACCTAAAGATCGTTTCACCTCGTGGTCTTCATTTCGCGGCCTTCACTTCGAGTTCTACACCTCGTGGTCTCCACCTCGAGGTCTTCACCCCCAGGTTTTCACCGAGAGGTCGAGGGATCTACCTCGGGGACCACATCGAGGTCTTCACTTCCAGGGCCTCTCCAGCCTTCACCTCAATGTTTTGTACAACGATGTCTTCACCACGGGGCGTTTGAGTTTTCGCGCTTATCCCCGTCGCGAGGCAGTCGCCTCAAGGACACAGCCCCGCGGAAAGGCTGGCGGTCCGAGTCTCGCGTCGTGCGTGTTCGTCCTCTTTGAGGCCATGGTCGGCGGAATTCTTAGCTGTCGTGTCTCAGCAAATTTTGCGCGGTTGCCCCTCTCGCCAGGCAGATGCCTCAAGGACACCGCCTGGCAGTAAGGTCGGCGGTCCTCCACAGCCTCACGTCCGACCGATAACCGAAGTTTGTCTCCTTCTTCGGCACTCTGGCGGCAGTGCTAGGTTTCGTGCATCCACAGAAAATGCACACCCCCCCCGTCGCGAGGCAGTTGCCCCAAGGAGTCTGCCTTGCGGCAAGGCCAGCGGTCCTACGCGGTTTCACGCCCACCTTGTCACCAAATGTCGTACTTCGGTTCGGACGGTGGCTGTCTGCAGCGCCGACTTCTTGCGCACCCAGAAGTTCGCACATTTACCCCCGTTGCGAGGTTGTTGTCTCAAGGACAGCCCGGCGGCAGGGCCCGCGGTCCTGCACGTTCTCGTGTTTTTCCAGTCACCACGTTTCGTTTTCGTCTGGGCGCTGGCTTGCAGCAGTGCTGGATTTCGTGCGTCCACAGCTTCTGCGCGCCTACTCATGTCATGAGGCAGCTGCCTCAAGGAAATGGCCCCGCTGCAACGCTGGCGGTCCTGCGCGCCCTCGCGTCGCACGTGTTACCACGACTCGTCTCCATTTGTACGTTGTTTGGCGGAAGCGCCTTCATCGTGCATCCGCATATTTTGCGTGTTTATCCCCGTCGCGAGGCCAATGCCTCAGGGACGCAGCGTGGCGGCAAGGCCGCCGGCCCTACACACTCGCATTTTTCTGGCTCCCACAATTTATTTGGCGGTGCCTGGTGGCAGTGCCAATGTGCAAGCATTCGCTGATCCTGCGCGCAGACCCCGTCGCGAGGCAAGTGCCTCAAGGACCTTGCCTAGCGGCAAGGCCGGCGGTCCTGGACGCTGTCACGTCGAACGTTACGAAGGTTCGTTTTTGGGGGACGTTGGTTGGCGGCAGTGCCAGCCATCACGAGTCCGCAGATGATGCATGCCTACCCCCGTCGCGAGGCTGTTGCCTCAAGGACATCCTGGCGGCAAGGTCGGCAGTCCTGCACATTCTCACGTCTAATTGGTAACCAAGGTTTGTCACCAAGGTTTGCCCACTTTTGAGCACTGGTTGGCGGCAAAGCCAGCTTTCGTGCATTCCCAGATAATGCACGATCACCCCCGTTTCGAGGCAGTTGCCCAGTGGCAAGGCCGGTGGTCCTGCACACTTGCACGTCGAGCCGACATTCGTCTTTTTTGTGGGTGTTGTCTGGCGGCGGTGCCACCCATCGTGCGTCCGCAGATCATGCGCTCCTACCTCCTTCGCGAGGCTGTTGCATCAAGGACACAGCCCGGCGGTCAGACCAGCGGCCTTGCACGCCTGCACAATTCCCTGAATATCACAGTCCGCCGCTTTTTGAATGTTGACTGCCGGCAGTGCCGACTTTCGTGCATCCACGTTTCAGCGCGCTGTCGCGAGGCACTTGCCTCAAGGACGCAGCCCGGCGACAAGGCCGGCGGTCATGCACTCTCCTTGCGTGTCCTTAGATCCCACGTGTCATCCCCTCTTGGACGCTCCCTGGCCGCAGTGCCCGTCTGCGAACCTTCGGTGGTTCCGCGGGTTGACCCCCATCGCGATGCAGATGCCTCGCGAGGCAGATACTTTTTGACGGAACGTATTCGTACGTGTTTTCGTTTCGGTTTTCTTGGTCCGGGCTAACTTGCTTGCGTTCGCCGGGACGGCGATGCATTTGCACCGCGGTCTTTTTCACCTCCCCCCTCCGCGCCTCGCTAAGATAGGACGGGACAGCGTAGCTGTGGAAGTCATCATCGCGACCAACTGCGGCGGCGGTTGAAAGATGGTCTCGCCCTTGTCTTCGGGCCTTCCCTGTGGCAGCTCGTGGGCGTGATCTTATGTTTGTTCGTGCTGTTTGCCTCTCGTGTCTACCCTTCCCTCAGTAGCGTAGTACGTGAGCAAATTCAACGAGCATGTCGCCACACACGGTTTGAGGATGCGCGGGCGTGCGCCAGCGGAACATTTGCCCGAATTTCCGTCTTGAGTGATTTCCCAACAGAAACAAGAAATCTGAATTCCAGGCGCGCCGGCTAATCTGTTATCGAATGCGTGCGCCTTCTGCCAGAGTTCCCACGCAGTATCCCGTGACACAGGAATGCTGTCCAAAGTGCTAATTCAGTAGGATCACGTTAGCATGACAGACGAAACGCGTGTTCCCCAACGATGTGTATCTTGCGGCTCTGGCAGGTGCTACTACCTCGATCCGTGCGTTCTGGACCACTGCCCCACGCCATTCGCATTATCGGGCCACCGTGCCCCTCAGAGTGATGTATCCAGGAAGCTGGGTCCACTAACGGGGCCCAGGCGCCACAAAACCACATTACCTCAAGTCCTCTCTCCTCCTCCCTCCTATGCCCTCCTCTCCTTGTCTCTTCATTTCCCTTCTCTCCTTACCCTCCTGTTCCACGATTGCTCCTCTCTCCTCCTCTCCCGTTTTCCTCCTCTCCTCCTCTCTCCAGGTGTCTCATCCGTCATCTCTCCTCATCCTACCTACCTTTTCGCCTCCGTGCAGCCACGCGCAGAAGGGGGTAGGGGGAGGAGGGAGGCTTCTTAGAAGCACCGCCCGTGGCCCAAATAGGAGCTGCGGTGGCCCGCACTGCCACGCTGGCGAAGGCCCGGGCGTGGGACGAATACTTGACACAGCTGTTGAACGACATGTTACGAAGGCGAGTTGCTGTCGGGGAGCGCGTACGTTGAAAACGAATATAAGCACCCCACTTTTTAGAAGGTGCGGGCCTTAAACATAGATCTAGGCTCAGCGCCTTCTAAATGACAGCCTCCTTCTAAGAGGCCTTTCTCCGTCCCTCGACCCTCCTATGCGCCCCGCCATTCCCCTCTCTTCCCCTCGTTCTCCATCCTTCCTTCCCCCTCTGTGGCCAGTCTGGCTCAAGAGCTGCAGCAGCTCCGCGCCCCTGGCGTGCGCCAGCCCTTCCCCGCGCCCCTTGAGTGGCCATGGCGACGGCGCCGACTGAGCCGGGCGGCGAGCTGGGCTCAGGGGCAACGGTTGGGGTGGACAGGCTCAAAGTGGGATGCATCGACCCCCAATCGCCCACTGATCCCTGATAGTGGTCTGATATCAGCACCCCGCCCAGTAACGTGCGGATCCGCTATCGGGGGCCTATCGCCGATTCTTGTTCGGCGATGTATCGCCGATTCCAGGTCCATGCCTTCCCCCTGTGGCAATCCCCCCACCGTTGCCCCTCACGGGCGGGGGCGGGGGCGCCAGCGGGGCGGAGGTCGAAGAGGAACAGAAGCGGCATAAGCATGAAGTCTCGGAGTTCCGCGCGGGTTTCTCGGATCGGCGCTGGCGAATCCGAGACATCGGCGGCGAAATTCGAGCCTTACCCTCGCCGTTTAACGATTCAGGCGGCTCGATTGGGCGGCGGGGGGAGGGTTCGGAATTCGTCGAACACGGTGCGCAATCTGAGCCCTGTCTCCGCCTCCCATCGATTCAGGCTAATCGATGGTTGGCGGGGGGCAGGGCCCGCATGCCGCCACCTGGAGATCCGCGCGGGCCTCCAGGAGCTTGCCGTTATGCTTCTGCTGTCCTTTCAGGAGGGGCGGCCGCCCTCCAGCTCCTCGTGGACCCCAGAGGCGCTGGCCGCGGAGCTGAGGCGGCTGCCCGTGGATGCGCTGTTCCCGCAGCTGACGGAGGAGAGTTCGAGCAGGGGCCGCCGCGAATCGCGCTTCGGCGGTTCCTCATCCTCGTCCTCGTCCCCCTCTTCTCGAAAAAGAAGGCATACACATACACTATTGACGGTCCGCGCGGAGTTCTTGGATCTGCGTTGGACCTCCCTCCCTGGCGCGCGGAGCGCGCCAGTGTCGGTGCCGGAGGCGCCGCTAGGGGCTCCCAGTGCACATCGAAGAATTTCGCGCGGACCGTCGATTTTTTTCTCAAGTTGCTTACGCCATTCCGCCGTCGCCCTCCAGACGGAGCGAGAGTTTGCGGCGATCGTGGAAGTTATTTGGTGGGTCCGGAACTTTTTGGATACATAGGATGATATTTGAGGGGCTCTCGGGATGTTTCTCATGTGCATCTTGGAGAGGTCATTGTTGCACCTGGGGGGTTCGGGCGGACCGTCGCAAGTTTATCTTTCTGCAGTTTATCCTTCCTCGATCTTCTCCCCCAGAGGAGGCGGCACGAGGGAGCGCGGAGTTATTCGGGCTCTCTCGCGTTCTCGCGGGGCGCGGACACGGCCACCCCTGAGGATGTGGTGGAGGTCCTCGAGAAGTGGCACCGACGCTTCCCGCTCAGGATCTGGAAGCGGTTCTCGGGTCATGATAATGATGCGTTCCAGGATGGTCACGGTTTCCACGTTTTTTCCATATTCCCAAATGTTCCGCACCAGTTGCGCCGCTAGATAGTGTCGAAATGTGGAAATCCTGGGTCGTATACAAAGCCAATCCTTTTGTGATATCATTGTCACCCTAGGTTCGTCAGGGTGTACAAGGGCGCGGCGCACCAGACGCCATGCGTCCTGAAGGAGTTCAACGAGTGCGCCCCGGTCATCGACAGGGTGCGGGCCTGGATTGCCACCCTGCCAGAGGATCGGGGGCGGCCAAGGGAAGTGATGACTACGGTCGGACCGAGGTATAAGATCGAGGTCGGCTCGGGGAGGGTATCATAGTGTTCTTCGTGTGTTGTTGGATGTTCTTGTGCATCCCGGGGGGAGGGCACCCTCGAATGTTCTTCAGTTTGGCCGGTGGAGGGTCTCATGTTCTTGAAGGGTGTTCTTCTGTTCCAGTTCCGGCTGTAGGTGGGGTTGCATGATTGCTCCCCGGATATCATGCCCCCCCCCTTCTTCTTTCCATGCGTCCCCCGGCCTGTCCTCGGCCGCGCACATTTTTCGGGCCATGATTTGCGCTCCCCCCTCGCCTTGGATGCCCCCGAGAGGACGCACCTCCGGCCACCGTCATCGACCTGGGCGCGGGGTTCGGCTTCCTCTCCATGCTGCTGGCGGAGCTCCTGCCGCCGCAGCGTGTCGCGAGGTGCATCCTGATAGACGCCGACTTCCCGAACCGGGGCCTGGAGGTGCCCAGCGGCCAGATCTCCACCGAGCACATCTACGGGTGTGGGCAGTGGCGGATACCCCTGTGCACTCTGAAGGTGGACCTGAAGAAGGGCAGGGCGCTGAACCAGGTCGGCGCGCACCTCCTGCGCACCCCTGCAGAGCAGGACGTCGCTGCAGGCGGCGCTGGTGAGGCGCCAGCCGCGCCGCCCGTCTTCCTGTGCGGGGTGCACCTGTGCAACACGCTCAGCCTCCGCGCAGCCCAGCTCTTCAACGAGCACCCAGAGGCCACGGCCCTGGCGTTGGCGCCGTGCTGTTTCCCCACGCAGCGGCACCTGGCGCAGCAGGTGGTCTACCAGCTCGGCGCTCACCGCTTCGCGGCCAGCCAGTTCCTGGATAGCAGGACCACGCCCTCCAGCGCGGCGCGCTTCGCGAGCTGGAACGAGCACATCCTCGAGGGCATCGAGCCAGGGCCCGGAGGGACGAAGGCCATGGAGAGGCACCAGCTCCACCGACCACAGTCGGGAGGTTCCGCGGCGCCAATCCGAACCCCACCCTCGCCGATCAACGATCCAGGCCTCTCGATGGGCGGCGGGGGTAGGGTTCGGAAGGCGTCGAAGACGTGGCGAAATCCGAACCCTGTCTCCTCCCATCGATTCAGGAGAACCGATGGTTGGCGGGGGCAGGGCCCGCATGCCGCCACCTGGAGGCATGTTCGCGCAGGACCGGTACATCTTCGCCGCGCGGCCCTGGCGGCGCGATGCCGTCGCGGCGTCCGAGGTCGGCCAGAGGACCGGAGGCCGCGTCGTCGTGGACGCGGAGTACGGCCACGCGGCGGCCCGCCGTGGCCGGGGGGGCGGGCGGACCACCGGAGGCGCCGTGGCGCCCGCGCCGCTTGGCTGCGACGAGCTCGCCGCCGCGCTGCGGCTCTTGCCCGTGCAGCGCAGGTGCGCAGGGCCGCCGCGCGGCGTCGCGTCGGGCGGGCGCGCCCCAAGAGCGGTGGCAGGAACGCGGGGTCGGCCTGCTTGGGCTACAGTCCAAAACCATGGTAATGATGCAGTACTTTGTAAGGCCACCCTTGCAACCTTCTTTTTGTCGACCCTGAGTGAACCACTGTAGACGTCCAAAGGCATCCAAATTGGTCGTCCAAGGACCTCCCATCCTGATCTTGCGTCCATTCTCTGAATTTGGACTGCATGCGTAAGAGTAATCCTTCGCCGGAGTGACTTCTGGTGCGGGCCTACAGGGGTCCCCGCAGCACTGGGCTGCGCGCGTATCTAGATTTCGCCCCTCTCTGCGACCCAGCCGCTCACCACCGGTCAGTCTTGCCCAGAGTCATTCTCGCGTGTAGCCGACTGCCTTCCCCTCTGTTGCCAGGGGCTTGGCTTGTTCCACTCGGGATTCGCCGTTTGGGGGGGGAGTTACGGGAAGGCCGTTCCTCTGGGAGTTGTCGTTTTTGTGTCTTCGGCAGGTTCGCCCGCGCAGGAGGATGGAGAGAGGGGTGTTGGTTTCGTCGGCTCGTGCGGTGTTGGGCTTTGAGTTTGAAGGCTCGCTGCCGACGACGACATAGGTCGGGAGGGAAAAAAGAGCATCAATGACACGCCGCCCTTGGAAGTCCGTCAGCGTCTTACTCAGGCTCGTTCTTTTTGACCGGAGGCCTGCTGATGCTTCAACAGCACTTTGCTGATGGGCTCCCCGCGGCGGCATGTCCTTGATGCTGCCGTTGCTCCCCTCTGAGGGAAGCAGCTGGGGATGCGGAACATCTCGAATGCCCCGTGCCCCAGCGCTGTGACATTGCGCGGCCGCTGCACGGGGGGACGCGGGGATCGGGGAGCCGGCCCGAGCACGCCTCTGTCGAAGAGGGGGGGCGGTGTCTCTCCAGACTAAATATTCGGTGGCACGCGGCGCGCCAGCTCCTTGTGGCCCTCGCGTGCAAGGGGGGGGGAGGGGGGGGGGGCGTTCAGAGACCTTGGCATCACTCGGACGCGTGCATCAGCGCGGGTCATCCTGCCATCCTCGGATCATCTGGCGAACAGCCAACGCACGAACCCACCAAGTCTACGGGGAATTGAGGTCCGACCGATGGCAAGAGACGGGCATATGCCATATGCCTGTCCTTCCAGCGCATTGTCTATCCCGCCCGCCTGGCCGCCGCGCTTGGGTCGTGGGCAGGAGGCTTCTCAGCTGCCTCCTTGGGGTCCTGTTGGGGACCTCATTGGGGCCATCTTGCGGGTCCCCTGGGCGCACCTTGGGAGCCTTGTGGGGACCTTTTTGGGTCGTCGGGGGGGGGGTCATCTCGGTTTTGAGGGCTCGAAATTGCAGCTCGATGTCTCTTTCTTGACCTTAAACCTCTCTTGGGGGCATCTTGCGGGCCGCTAGAGCCCCCCTTCGGACGCCTCGCGTGCTCTCTTAAGCGCGTAATGGGCGCCTCTTGGGCAGCCTAGGACGGTCTGAGTCTAGAAGACAGGGTGAGAATGCGAACGTTCTCTCAAAACCTCCCCTCCTTGGGCCTACCGCCAAGGCCTCCAAGACTGCCCAAGAGGCCCCCGACAAGAGCCCCGTGACGGTCACCGCGAACCATCTCTGGGCGTGTTGGAAACATTGGTTCCGAACCACGCTCCCGAGGCCTCTAGAAACGTTTCCCCAAGCACCCTGGAAGCGCCCAAGAGCGCCCCCCAAACCAGGAGTCTGGGACAGGCGCCCCGTGGCAATGACCATGTGCAGTATTCGGTATTGAGAGCTGGAAGGGACCTGAGGACACTCCACTTCGTGCCTCGGGCAGGGTAACATAACATTCGTGGGAAGTGTACGTATGCGTAAAAGTATGCGTAACCATGCAGATCAAATTTTGGTTGGGTCCCAGCACATTGCATTCGGTAAGTCGTTGCCAAGATGACTGAACCGGATCCGTAGCCATTTTGGCTCAAGGCTCCGAGGATCGCCCCAAGACGGCCCAATAGGCTGTAAGAGCGCCCACAGACGGAGTTTTAGTAGCCATGTCGGCCGCGCGTTGCTGCTTGCTGCTCGCCGTGACAGGCAGCTCTGCCGTCATGGACATAAAGGGGAAGGGCGGGCATCTCCGGAGGCCCAGAGAACAGGCGCCTCATGGTTTCATAGTGGGCGATGGTTCGAAGGTGCACGTGAGCGTCGAGGTGCTGGAGAGCGGAGGAATGCTTATTGGCACCACCGCGATCGAGGAGCCGGCCCGCATAGAAACCGCGGATCTGTGCACGCAGGTCGGGGTGGCATGGTTGGCGCTGGTGCTTAGCGGCGGCGTCTTCGTCATCTTGCCCAGGTACCAGACCCTGGCGCAGTTGCTCCTGTTCTTCGGGGCCCAGAACTTCATGAACTTGTTGTACATCAAGGCGATCATGTCCATCCACACGGTCTGCCAGGAGCTCAACATACGGCGCTTCCATGCGCTCCTAGTGCTGACGGCCATGCAGCAGCTCGCGGGCTTCCTCTTCCCGCGCTGGTGATCCTCGTGTCCCAGCTGACGCCGTGGGCCTACAGGCCGCACAGCATCGTCAGTAAGGACCAGGCCCTCGCGGTGATGGCCCTCGCAGTGTGCTTCACCCTGAACATCGCCCTCAACAACTTCAGCCTCTCGCTCCTGGACATGTCCGTTAACGTTATGGTCCGCTCCACGAGCCCGCCGATGTCTCTTCTCCTGCAGCTGTGCTTTCCTGCGAAGGTAGGCATGGTGCTACTCGGCGTCATCTGCGCGGCGCTGGTGGTTATTTCCAAGAGCACCCAGAAGAAGACGGCGGACCAGAACGAGGGCGGCGGCAGCAACACGCTGGGTCTCCCTGGAGCTCATGGTAGTTGTGATTCTTGGCAAGGGGTCAAGTTGAACGCTATCGACTCGCTCATTTACATGACCATTCCAATCGTCGTGCTGCTGTTGTTGCCCATCTACTTGATCAAGCACCCCGTGTCTTATCCTGGGCACGAGATGGCCACGAATTTCAGCGTGTTCGTGGAGATCGCCCAGCTGAGCCTCGGCACCGTGGTGCAGGTGACGATGTCCGGCATCTGGGCCCTCGGCTACAACCTCCTGCTGTACAACATTGTCAGGGATCTCTCCCCGTTCTTCGCGTCGTTTGCCGCAAACTTCAAAAGGTGGCGGCCATCGCCCTGGCCCTGCTCATGGGCATGGAGTCGCTGCAGGCCGGCCGCTTGAAGTACTTGATGTGCGCGGGCGCGGCGGGGAACATGGCGGCCTGCACCGCGTACAGTCTGTGGCCGCCGCAGCCGAAGAAGGAGCTCTCTGAAGAATGCAGCAGAGTTCTGCTGCAAAAAAGGCGGACGCCTGAGGCCCTCGCCTCTCTCGCCGAGGAGCGCCGAGAAGGGCGCGGGGCGCTTTGGCGTCGAAGGAGTGCCGGCAGGCGCGCGCCTTGCGTGCGTCGAGTGATCTCGCGCCCTGACGGCCGCGGCTAATTTAGGCAGCATGCGAATCGCTGAATCGCTTCCTCTCCTCTTCCCCTTCTCTCCTCTTCTCCTCTTCCCGCTCCTCCTCCTATTCCCCGCCGGGGAGCAGGTGGAGGATATCTCTTAGATCCGTCGGTGCCAGTGCTCGAGGCCTGACGAGGACACTGCCTATCCGCTGACTTCGCGGAGGGTTCGGTGGATCGCGCACACATGGTCCCCATACCGATGTATGAGCTCCTCCGACTGCACCGAATACGAGATACCATCTGGCGCTGTCGGCTGTGGGTGTCGTTTCCTATGATTTCTTCAGCCGATCGGCGCGGGCCCTCGCGCCCCGCCCCCCCATGGAGTAGATATTGGCTGGCTGTTTTTGGGCGCCTGTTGCGAGCGGGTGGGGCCTCTCCTGGGGCGCACTGCTGCAAACAGTGGCATTCAGCAGAGGTCCGGAGACAGACCCCTCCCGAACCCCCCCCGGTCCTCCCAATATCGAAACGCCTATACACATATATGGGGGGTTCCGTCCCCGGGGCCCCGCAGGGCCCCCCCTTGTACATAGGTAGTGCCCCCCTCCCAGGAGCCCCCCCGGGAGCCGCCCCGAGGCCCCGAGCAGCCTTGACCCGCCCAAGATTGCCTACAGATGGCCAAAGAGCTCTCCAAGACGCACTCAGAGGGCCCCAATAGCGCTCGAAGACGGCCCAAGAGGCCCCCAAGACGGCCCAAGACGCTTCCAAGACGCCCCAAGAGGCTTCCAAGAGCACCCCCAAGAGAGCCCGAAGAAACAACATTCATTGATTTGTTGATGGTTTTTGAAGGATTTGGCCGTTCTCGATATTTGGGCGTCCCAACGTTCCAAGATGGCCCAAGAGCCCCCCAAGACCGCCCCAAGACGGCCCGAGAGACCCCCAGGAGGGCTCCAAGACGGCCCAAGAGGGCACCAAGACGGCCTAAGAGGCCCCAGGGACGGCCCAAGAGGGCCCCAGGACGGCCCCAAGAGTGGGCCCAGAGGAGGAACCTGAACGGACATTGCGAGCTTTTGGTTCCAAGAGGCTCCCAGGAGGCCCCCAAGAGGCCCCCAGGAGGCTCCCGAGAGGCCCCCGGAGGCCCCTAAGAGCCCCCAAAAGGGCCCCAAGAGGTCCTGAAGAAGCCATCCAAGAGGCCCCCAAGAGGCCCCTGAACTGCCCCTGCAGGGGCCCCCGAGACCCTTCCGAAGAGGTGGGATAAGGCTATTTGATAGCTGGCATGCGCGCGGCGTCAGGACTTTCGATGCTGCGCGCCACTTCGACAAACTCCCAGGGAGCGGCTGGTGATGCGCCGCCGGCGTCCTCGATCCCTCGTCCTTCCTCATCTTCTCCAAGGTGACCCGAGTTGCTCCCCCGGCCGCGAATAGCGGTCAAGGGGGAGTGACCGGGATGAGGGTGAGAGGTTGAACCTTCCATTCCCTCTTTCTTCCTCATTTTCTCCAGGGTGACCCAAGTCGTTCCACTGGCCGCGAAAAGCGGTCAAGGGGGAGTGACCGGGGCGGGCGTGAAAGGTTCAACGGTTCAACCCTCCACTCCTTCTTCCTTCCTCATCTTCTCCAGGGTGACCCGAGTCGCTCCCCCGGCCGCGAAACGCGGTCAAGGGGGAGTGACCGGGCCGGGCGTGAAAGGTTGAACCCTACAATCCCTCTTCCTTCCTCAGATCATCTTCTCCAGGGTGACCCGAGTCGCTCCCCCTGCCGCGAAAAGCGGTCAAGGGGGAGTGACCGGGCCGGGCGTGAAAGGTTGAACCCTCCTTTCCTTTTTCCTTCCTCATCTTCTGCTGGGTGAACCCGAGTCGTTCCCCCGGCCGCGAAAAGCGGTCAAGGGGGAATGGCCGAGACGGTCGTGAAAAAGGTTGAACCCTCCACTCCGTTTTCCTTCCTCATCTTCTGCTGGGTGACCCGAGTCGCTCCCCTGGCCGCGAAAAGCGGTATATATTGTCATGCGCCGCTTGCACCTAATGGGGGTGCCTTCTAGAACCCTGATTATCTGGGTGCCTGGCTAGGACGTACAGAAACAGAAATCCCCGCCCAGGACAATTTCGTGTTTCCTTAATGCATGCCTATGATTTTGGGACGGGGGGGCGAATTGAATGTACGCACCACTCTAACATCACGCATGGAAGACCACGCGGTTTTTATATTATTCATTCAATCGTGTGATTATTTGATACGTCAGATACGCCACGTTGTCCAAATCCTCCCCATCCCCCATCCCCCTCTTTCTCGTCCGCCCCTCCATCTTCTCCACCCCTCCTCATTATCCTTGTTTTGTCTGTCTTTATTATGGCTCACGCAAATTTATTACCCCTGGGATTCGTTGTTTTTCTCGACTTGTGTCCTCTTCCTACTCTCTTCCCTTCTCCTTCCTCCTCTCCCCGTCTTGGCGCTCATTTGGGCCTCGTGGATGCCTCTACCCCCTCCTTTTCCTCCTCCTTTTCCTCCTCCTCCTCCTCCTCCTCCCTCTGGGCGTCGTTCGGTGGCGACGGTCTCGTGCCTCGCAACCTTTACTCGGGCCTCGGGCCCCTTGTCGGCGTCGTCCTCGTCATCGTTAGTCATCGTGCCACGGTGCGTGACGTTCGACGTTCGACTCGGAGTTGGGGCGCGAGTCGGGTCGGGTCGCGTCTGACGGGGTTCGGGCGTCGGGCGGGGCGTCGAGCGGGTCGTCGGGTGAAGCGTCGGCGTTGCGTCGAGCGGGGCGTCGGGCGTCGGGCGTTGCGTCGAGTCGGCCGGCCTGCGTTGAGCTCTCTGGCGCCGTCGTCGCTGGACGGGCGCGCGGGGCTGCGTCGGTCGCCGTCTTCCCCGACCCGTGCTGCCGAGCCGCCGCTGCCATGCGAACCCGGCGCAAATCCATGAGGGAGAGGGGGGAGAACGAAAGGGAGGCGGAGGAGGGGCGAGAGTCAGGAGAGGGAAGAGTCATCATGAGTCATATGAGTCAAGATTCAAGAGAAAAGACGAGGAGGTGGGGGAGGAGAAGACGAGGAACGGAACGAGTCGAGGAGGAGGCGGAGAAGGAGGAGGAGGAGGTGGAGGAGGAGGAGGAGCACGAGGAGGGAGACTGGGGAAACAGGAGGAAGAAAAGGACGAGAAGCGGGAGGCGTGGTCATAGGCCAATGCCGCAGCCATTGCCCTTTCCCCCCGACCCTAAGTGTTGACGCACGTAGGGTCGGGGAGAAAGGGTCGTTCTCCATACGCTCATGTGAATTAACATTATAATATGACTCATAATCGTAGTCATCATAGTCATGGCTTGGTCCATGGTCATCATAGTTACTTAGTCTAGTTCGTGGACGTTTCGTCCACGAAGGGAAAGAGAGGGGATGTGGTCCCATATCCTTCCTCATCCTCGTCCTCCTCCTATTCTTCTTTTTCTTCCCTCACTTCGGGGGAGGGGGCTCCTCGTGCAGCCGCCCCTGGATTCGGCCCCTCCCTGCCTGCGCGGGGGAGGGGTGACTCCAGGTTGCGCTTGGCGCTGGCCAGGTGCCTACTGGCTCGCGCGGGGTCTCTTCCCCTTGCTCGCGGGATTCGATGTTTTTTTCGGAGCAGGCCGATGGCGTATTGTATTCAACATCCACCGTCCGAGTCCCAACCTATTCTACATTTCTACCTCCTCCCATTCCTCCGACTCCTACCTACCTACTACTACTGCTCCTACTCCTCCCCGGCCTCCTTCGGCATTCGATTCCAAACCTCGTCTCGTCCTCGTTCGTCTCCTGGCTGGATTTGCGTCGGGTTGCTGCTGCCGCCGTTGCTCAGCCTGCTGCTGCTGCCGACTGCAGCCATGGATTGGCTCGCCTGTCTGGACGACGGGGAGGCGGCGGAGGCCGACGGGGCGGCCGCCGCTGCGGCGGCGGCAGACGGCGGGGATGTCGCCCCGGCCTCGCCGCGGGCCGGACGCGTCCGGCTGAGGCGGGCGCAGGCCGAGCAGCCGGGGGGAAAAGGATTCGGCCGGATTAGCAGGTCGACCCTGCCAGATCAAGGGTAACGTAACAATATCGGCATCGGGGTATCGGGGTATCGGGTATCAGGTATCAGTGTACAGTGTACCGTGGTACTCAGTGGTACCCAACCTATCCTCGTGTCCTGAGTCTTGCGACCCATGCCTTTTGTGGCAACGTGGCCCTCGGAAGGGTCAGTCTTGCGTCCTCTCGCGTGTCCTCTCAAGTCCGAATGTAACTGGAAGAGTCGGAAGAGCTTAGAATCTAAAGCCTCGAATGGAGGAAGAGGGGGAGGAAGAGAGGAAGAGAAAACGTAGGTAGCCGTAGGTACCGTAGGTACCGTAGGTAGGTAGGATGAGAGGGGGAAGGAGGAGAGAAAAAGGGCGAGGAGGAGGAGGACGAGGAGGAGGAGGAGAAAGAGGGAGGAGGACGAGGAGGAGGCGGAGGAGGAGGAGGACGAGGAGGAGGAGAAGAAGGAGGAGGAGGGTGTGGGCGAGGACGAGTGGAGGGAGGATCGGAGGGATAAGGCGAGAAGGAGTGGGAAGAGGAGGAGGGCCGCCGGGGCCGGGCCCTTTCTCCCCCCACTTCTCTTTTCCTCCCCATCCCCCCGCTACCGTCTTCTTCTCCTAATCCCTCGGTCGGGCGCCCCCCTCCTCAGGCCCAGGCCCGCCCCATCTCTGCCGCCGTCGCCGCCGCCGCCGCCCTTTCGGCGCCCAGGCGGCGCGGGCTCGCGAGTGGCGAGCCATCCGGCGCGCTCGGCGGGCCGAAGGCCAGCGCCGCCGCCGCCGGCCCGCT